TTTTTTTTTTTTTTTTTTTTTTTTACAATTTCTGCTTTTGGAGGGAGGCAGAGGTTAGATTTCCAAGCAGCAGATCTGACATTAGCTTTGAGTGCTTGACTTCAGCTTCTGAAATGTTACTTAATGCAAGACGAAAGCTCTAGTTACCTCTTCTTGCTCTCTGTGTACTCGGCTCTTTCTGCCACAAGACAGCGCTGAGAATCATATTGCCTAGTTTATTATGGTGCGCCTAATTTCTTGTTGAAAGGAAAGAGAATACAATTTTAAACCTAGAATGAAAAATAACTTGTTCCCAGAAAGAATGTAACTATTTCTGGGTTGGTTTTTTTTTCCCTAGATAATTTTTCTCCAGAGAGTGTTAACGATACGGCTAAAGAAACTTGCTTAAACTGGTTTTTCAAGATTGCTTCAATCAGAGAACTCATTCCCAGATTGTATCCTTGTCAAGTGAGACTCTCGGAGTGTGTCTGCAGGTTTTTCACAGACTTTTCAAGAAACGAACGTGTTTGTTTCAATAAAAGGCACAGCAATCTGATGATTATACTGACTTTGTTTTGTTTGTCTCAGGCTGTATGTTTCACATGTGAGTCATGTTTCATAGTAAATTGAACGCTGAATTACTGGCTATGAGCAGCATGGCTGTGATAAAGTAGACTTGATGTGTGAAAACTTGGGAAACAATAAAAATCTCATCGATAAATCATACAAATCAACGAAGTGTAGTGAGATTAACTACAGAAGGCCTTGAAATAGTTTGTTCTGTATGTATCTGGTGTATAAATTTGGTTTTTGTTTTAAATGCCATGCATCTTAGTTTTGTTCCTTAACTTGGCTTCATTCTAGTTACGTGGAAGCAGCAATACTGAAGTGCAATAAATTCCTATCCAAAACGTAAGAGTAAATGTTAAGTTTGGGAAAGAACTGAGTGGGCAGGCTTATAAACTACTTTAAGGGGTTAAGCATGCAAGTTCTATGATTAATGGTGGATAGGGTCTTAGTAGGTCTGAGGAAAAGCGGTATGAGAGGGTTTGGAGTTTTTGGTGAGAATGCCATGGAATTAATTCAAGGGGACCTGTGGTACAATAGTGCCACAGGAATGCAATAGTGCTTGTAGTTTTGGAATATGTGTATCAGTGTGACATCAGGAGTTTGCAAATTAAAAACCAGTGGCTTCAGGTGGTGGAGGGGGAAGCAAGATTGTTGAGATGACAGTGGCAAAAAGATGGGATAGAAAACTGAAAGGAAAATATTGATGTGTCATATTGCTAGAGACGGAGTTGGAGAAACGATTTGGGAGCAATGAGCCATTATCTATTGAAGATCTTGGTATAAGCTTCAGCTGTTGCCAAACAGTGTCAGTTGCTGAGCTGAAAACATTCCTTCATATGTAATGGTCCTTTTTCAGTTATGTTTTGAAATGAGTGTTGTAAGCCAAATGGCTACTGTAGTGACAACTTCGTTATCCCTAAAAAGCGGTTCTTTTACTGGAATTGATGGGCCTCATCTCCAGGCACTAGTACAGCTCCATCAAAAAGGACCTATGGGAAAAGGAGACATAGAAGGAGTTCTGCCAGTTCCGCCTTAAGCGGATGCTGTCTTCACATTGAATTGCAGCCCTTCTAGAGCTCTGCTGCTCCTCCAAACTAGAGGAGGAGTATTTTAGTTGTGCTTGTCTTTCACGAGCCAAGCATCCCACCTGGCTATCTGTACTACTCCTAATGGCAAATACTGCAATTTGAATATAGGATATGTTTTCCTATACACATACATTTTTACTTCTGAAATAGAATCTTGTGCTAATATGCTTCATCTTTGGTAGATGTTTCTGTAACTCACACTCAGTCTACAAGGCAGCTACTGAAGTTATCTGTAGGTGATATAATTCTGTTATCGATTGTTAAATCTCATTTTCATTTCTGAAAAATCTTAACAGAGGAATTTCGGAATGTCTCCCACGGTTAACGTCTATGATTAGAGGAATTGGAGACCCACTGGTTGCAGTCTATGCGAGAGCATACCTTTGCAGGGTAGGCAATCATTTAACACGTCAGATCTCTATCAAGGACTTACTGCAGCTGGCTCTGCCACTAAAGGAAAATTTCTTTTAACTACTGTTTTTATCTGAAATAGTCAGCAACCTGTCTCTTCCTTCAAGCAAACAAAAAAATAAAATTTCTCTTGTGTTTTAATAATGGGGAATATTTATTTAAGTGTTTTATAATATGTGAAAATAACTTTATGTGCTGCTTATGCCAGTTTTTCATCTTCAGGTAGGGCAACATGTTAGGGATCTAAGTGGAAGGTGAGACTTTGAGATTACATGCTGTTGTCTGATTGCTAGGTGCTGCTTTTCATAGTTAATATATGCGCTTTCCCTATCTTTATCTTCCTACTACCGCTAGAGTGTATGTGGCAGGCAGAGGGCTGGCAAGCTCCTTGGCAGAGAAGCCACTTGATAAAGTGTTCGGGCAGTGGATTTTGTCTGACTGCGTGGTGTGACTATGTTCTTATCCTCACCTACTCCTGCAGTTACCTTAACAGCTCAGCCAAGGAAAACTGACCCAAGAAGAGAGCCTAAAATGATTCAAAAAGTCATTAACGGTGGAAAAATATTTGTGAAATACATTTTTTGAAGGAGTGGCAAAGATCTCAACTATAACTGGGAAGTGGTAGGGCTGCTAGCAATACTTGCATGAAATCAGCTGCCATTATGAAATCCAACGAGTTTGTTCAGTGTTTATTGTATCTATTAATGTTTGAACAAACTGTCTAGGATGCTTTTGGTATACTATTCAGGGGTGTCCATATGAATTCCTGCATCTGCAATTAATTGCTAACCTCTGGTTTACTCCGATAGATGAGCTGCTTAGTTTATTTGAATCTTGAAATGCAGTAATACCTGTGTTTTTGTCATAGCCTAATCATTACTGTGTACATAGTGCAAGACTTCTGAAGGCTTTTTAGGAAACAGTTTGTATGCACAATCCACCTTTTACTGTTCCTGACACAGCTAAAAGAGATGCACAATGATAGAGCAGTTAGGCGTAATAATCTAGTAACAGTAATTGCAATTATGTAGTAAGGAGGAGCTTAGTACGCTCCTTTTTGTCCACAAAGATGATCATACAAAATAGTGAAAATTTTCTCGGAATAAAATACTAGCTGTTAAAATCCGGACTTTTGTTTAAAATAAGACAATTTACTGGAATGAAAGGCATTTAATCTTCTGTATTCCCGCTACTGATGCTATATTAATACTTTCACAATGAAGATAACGAAAATAGATTTTTAAAACATAAAAATTCTTGAATAGGAAACCTGTAGTATCGATATAAGTGATGTCTGAAGTGACGGCTTAGGAAAATGTAGGTATAATCACTTGTGCGTAACCAAAGAACCAAATCTTTGCACGGCAAGGTGATGCATTTCTCTCTAGCCTTGTGGTATGAAAGGAAACGATACGTAAAGACAAGTGATAGGCGAGTGGCTTGGCTCTGTGCAAGGTACCTCTGCTTTGCGGTGAAGTCAGGTAGAGTTGCATATGCTCAGGGATCCCAAAAAGGGGAACCTGAAGGTGTTGAGGTGGATTTGTTTGTGTGTTTTTAAGCCTGATCTGTTACTAACTTCTCATTCATTTCCGCATCTTTCTCTTTACTTTAGTAATATGCCACTTTTTTTTTTAATACATGGTTTTTAAGCTGTGTTATGTAAAACAGTCCTGTGTGGATTAGTTTCCTTTGTAGTTCTAGCTTTGCTACACAGGCTTTGTGTTTGTGCATCACCTTGTATTAGTTACTAATATTTTATCTATATATTCATATTTTCCTTTGGGATCCTTGCTTCATTCTGTCCACAGAATAAATACACATGATTTTAAGCAATTTCTGAGCTTTGACTGACTTTTGAAGTGTTGTTCACTGTAGGCTCTCTGCATAAAATGAATGTAGGCTGGTGCAGTGCTGGCACTGGGGTTAGACATTGATTTCCTACTGCTTACAGATACCTGGAGCTGATGTTAGGAGAACCACGTTTAAACACAGCTGTAACTACCTCGGGGTAGTTTTTAGTGGACATGGCTATAATAGTAAGCAAGAAAATAATGAGTCAAAAGCATGTGATTCAATGCTGTTTGTTGAGTTGATCTGTGTGACTATGTGTACTCCTCTGGAAAATGCATTTTTGTCTTGCCGTTGAAGGAGAATCGTCAGTGATAGGTGGAGATAAAATCTTTCTCTTTCTTTTAATACAGGTTGGGATGGAAGTGGCACCACAACTCAAAGAAAGCCTTAACAAAAATTTCTTTGACTTTCTTCTAACATTTAAACAAGTAAGCTAACAGGGGGTTTGTTTGCAAAATCACATAAGTACACTCCTTAACCAAACTACCGCATACTTTTAAAAAATCTTTGAAGTTCTTAAATATAGATTTAAGATGTTCTTGTACACAGATATAGTATGTAAAATTTCCCATACATTCTGATAAGTTGAAACTGCTCTATTCAGCATGTTTCCATACTTTAATACTGTATGCTATGAGCTTGATATTTTTTCCCCAGTATGCAAGGAATGCTTCAGAATATCTGTGTTTCTTTGTGATCTTGTCTGTTGTTGTTTCCATTCGTACACAAACTTTGTCCAGTTTATCATAGCTCTGATTAAATACCTTTTCACAGCAACATGTTTTTGACTTTTATTTCTACAGATTCATGGGGATACGGTTCAGAACCAGCTGGTAGTACAATGTGTGGAGATTCCTTTGTATTTGACTCTCTATTCTCCTGCTATAGACTGGATTTTACAGTGCATTGCATACCGTGCTCCTGAAGTAAGCAAGCAAGCATGGTAATGCTTGATTCTAAAGGAATTGTTGGGGTCAAGAGTTAATATTGCCTGTTTAAACCCCCCTCAGTCAGTAATTACATGAGTGTGAAAGCGCTTATGAAGAGCCTAGATACGACTGCCTCTTTCTTCTATACAGGAAGAATGTTCATTTCCACAAAGCTCAAATTATACCATTTTAAATTCATAGGCAGTATTCCTGTTTGTTTCGTGCTGTCCTTTAGCTAGTTTAATCTTTGTTTCCTGAATTCATTAGTTTGTTCTGTCATACAGATAAAAAAAATGATTTGCGTAAACCGTAGCTTTGTAATTGCTTAACATAGTCAACAGGCTATTTTAATTTTAGTCTGTTTTGCGTTCCATGGCAGAGAGTCACTAATCTTCACCTTTCCTGCCAGAGGTATTTGACCTGGCAGGCAAATAGAAATTATTTTGAGAAACGGCATGGCTGAAGAATTGCAAATTTGACTTCCATAAAATGCTGGTTTTGATGAAAATGCCACTGTACCTATTCCAGTAGGTGGGTTTTATGTTGTACTACACCATTGTTTTCTTGTGTTGTAAATACAGGATAAGACAGGATTATTGGAATGTATTGGGTGGGTAATTAAAGTAGCTTTTAGTGGACTTCACTACAATAATTAAAGCTGGATTTATTTGCAGAGTCTCTACTCACTAATTTTAATAAGTAATTCTTCCAGGTTCTGCTTACTGAGATGATGGAGAGATGCAAAAAATTGGGGAATAAGTAAGTATTTCACAATGTAGAAAACATGAGTCTGTAATGAGTACCGGTGAGTCCCTGTAATAAAATTCTCTCTCTCCCTTTTTAAAACACTTTTTGGATGCATAGTACAGCTTTTGTTCTCCCAGTAGCTTACTAAGTTATGATCATGAACATCTGTTTTCCAGAGATGAGTTCTAAAATATGGTAGATTACTTCTAGAGCAAAAGTTAAAAGAATTAACTTTGTTGCTGTGTTTTGGCTCCTAAGCCAAAGTTTAGGACGCGTAACGTGTTCTCCCTTAGCCATGCCTCTGATTCGTCGTTGTGCTTCTTTTTGCTCCGTTTTCCTCCCCTTCCTTCCCCATACCCTCCTCTGCCTACAGTCAGCCCATCCATACATTTTTGCAAGGGAAGTTGTAAAGCAGCTGACACCCTTGGAAGATGGCAATACTTAGGCGACTGCTTTTTTCAACATTAAAATGAGTATCCCAAATGTCTCCTAGAAGTCTGTGTGCAGGCTGATCACCTTCAGTGAGTAGTTCAGGAGGATGGTCTGAAAGTTTTGGATGTACTTTCCGAGCTGTGTGAATGCAATTTGGCCTGCTGATGAGCTATTCTCAGTTCATTTTATTGGCTAGGTAGGCTGAGTTCTGTGAAAGTTTTCAGCTACCTACGTTTTCCTGATGTGCTTTGCACAGCCCAATTCTGCAGTGGCTAGGAAACTATAATATGTTAATCACTTAGACGAGGAATGGCACCATGGGCATTCTGTGACTGAGCTGAGGAGTGTGAGGAAAGTGTCATTTTAAACGTGATGTGAAGATGCTATTGTATCAGAGTGTATAATATGGGTAAAATAATTCATGTAGTCGGCTGTATTATTTTGTATAGGTGTTGATTTGTTTTGTGGAACTTATTTTTAAATCACCTTTTAGCGTTTCTCGTTGTAAAGATGTGCTAGGTGCCTCCTCTTTGTGCCTGCTTGCCCTTTGAAGGAAGGATCCGGTTTAGATGGTGTATAAAGCACAGTAGTTTTCTTTCGGAGCGGAGTTCAAAATATGACAAAGCAAGAGGCATCAGTATATAAATCTTTAAATAATCTCAGTATGTTCCATGAACATTGCAGCCATCTAGGTGAAAAGCGACAGCCTGCTTCTCTGTATGGCAAAGCATTTACCTAGTGAACTGGAAGTACTTGTCTAACGATAAAATGCAAATTCCAGTCAAATTGTGATGGGACCACTAATGCTCAGTCAGAAACACAGAGGATGCTGGGCTATTTTAAGCACTCCACAGAATTTCCCTCAAGGTAAACCGCCTCACATTCAGACTGTCTGTTTCAGACTCGTGAAGGACACAATGTTTTATGAGGCAGCCTCTCTGCTAACTCATGGCTGCGTTTGCCCAAGGGAATTGCCTTTTAGATGATATTAGATTTCGTTTCTTATGTTTGCATAATAGTATCAGTAAATTGGGTTTTACATTAATGCAATGAGTTTACTCTTCCATCAGTCACTTTGGCTTGATAGTAATACAAATACAGGTCTAGATGATTAATTGTAAATGTCTGAATATGCTGTTGCCAGTTATTGTATGGTAATGACTGTTTGGATTTATTTTAATCCTAAAAATGCAGCTGCTAGAAATCTGACTTTTATAACAAATATAGGAAGAAATTCAATAGAGATTTGCCCAGCCAAAGTATACTTTTGAACTGTAGTTAAAAAGAGTGAGTAAGTTTCTAAATGTCAGCTACTGCTCATTCACCTGATCTTTCTAGCCAACTTCTGGTAAAACGATGGCTTCAAAAAACTTGTGTGGAACAAATGTTCTACAGGCTGGCTTACCTTTTCCTCATCTGATGGCTTAACGTTTTCTTGTCTTGCTTATGCACTATTACTCCTCATCAATGCAAGCTTGATTTGTGAGGGGGTTTTCTTCTTCCTTCTCCCATTTTTTTAAATTTAGAGTAGATGCTGGACAGTTGTTCGTCTAAGAAGTTTAGATTAATGTAAATGAGGGGACAACAAAATTTTAGTTGATGTTGAGCTGTTTGATTTGTGTTATGTTCGTTGTAGTGCTTTGCTGTTGAATTCAGTAATGTCGGCATTCAGAGCAGAGTTTATTGCTGCAAGATCTATGGACTTCATTGGCATGATTAAAGAGTGTGATGAATCTGGATTCCCAAAGGTAACTTTTTGTATGTAATTTGTGTTTTCTGACAGAGTTCTTTGTACTCTTAGTTGCCTACATAACTTGCACATCACTTAAATAAAAGGCGATTTGGTCCAAAAAAAATCTTTGTGCACAGTGTACCTGCTATGGCGGTGTTGGACGGGCACATATCTTCTGCTTTTCATTTAAAATTTCTCGTTAACTTTCAGCATCTCCTCTTTCGCTCCTTGGGATTAAACTTGGCATTGGCTGATCCTCCTGAAAACGATCGTCTTCAAATATTAAATGAAGCCTGGAAGGTTATAACAAAGCTGAAGAACCCACAGGTGAGTTATTGTCCGTTCTGTTTCACTACTGATTCTGTGTTTAGAGCAAAATTGTAGCCAGTTGTTCAGTAAGCATATGCTTAGCATGACATGGTTTACCTTTTGTAGATACACACAGTAATATCTTTATATGATCCATGCTTTTCTGGGGTCTACTTAAGCATAACTTAATTCTACATAAGCAACTTTTGAAGTTTGTCATTAGTGCTAGATCTTTAGGCCTGCATGAATCGTACCTCAGGAGTTAATTTTTTAAGGGTAATTTTTGCAAGTGTATTTCTCATAACCTCCTGTAAATATTGGTAATCATAAGACACATGTATTTCTAGGATTATATCAACTGTGCTGAAGTGTGGGTGGAGTATACATGCAGACATTTTACAGTAAGTGAAAATTACTTTGTTTCCTTTGAAGGTTTTCTGATGCAGGCTAAGTGGCTATATTAGTAGTTTGGTATTAAAAATGGAAAAGCTATGACTACTCAATATAAGTGTGTAGGACTTCAGTAGTGAATGAAAGATGCATTTTCTTTCATGAGCGATGAATAGGGACAAAAGATGCAGCATTGAAGGAGTCTTCATCGCTCCCCAGCACTGCTTTGATTTTAATGACAGATAGACCAGTTTCAGTAAGGATTTACTGGAGCTATGGCTAAAGTTCCTGGCTTAACTAGAGCTCCGTAGAAAGCTGATGCTTTGGCAAATGGAAATACATTATCCAACTGGTTTTCAGTGACTTTGTTTATGTGCTGATTTCATTACTGTATTTTGTAACCTCATTTTTCTCTACACAGAAGCGAGAGGTCAATACAGTTTTGGCTGATGTTATCAAACACATGACTCCTGATCGAGCATTTGAAGATGCTTACCCACAGGTAAAGAATTTATTTTGCCAAATCTGTAAAAATTTGTGCATTTTCTTAGATGAAATAAATTCTTAAACATTACTGATGTCTCTTACCACAAAATAATTATTTTTAAACACTGGCTGTAATGTGGGAAGCCTTTTGGAACAGGCTAATGCTGTGATTTGTTCCTCCTTTTTCCCCCACACATCAACCTTCCAGTTCAGAGAAATGCTAAAGCAGAATGATTTATGTGTTTAGAAGTATCAATAGTTAACTCCTACATCAACAGTGTTGTTCTGCTGAAGAAAATTAGCAATCATGGCAGGCTGTTTAAACAGAAGTAAACTGTGAAATAATCTATCCCTGCTTGGCGTTGTTAAGCCTTCAGTTAATTGTCGTGTCCAGTTCTTGAGACTGCATGCCAGGTGAGAGGTGGATTAGTCGAAGAGGTTCTAGAGGAAGGTTTTTGTGGTTACTTGGAGGGTAGATAAAGTGCCTACAAAAGAAGATTTAACAAACTGTTTTGAGGTTTTTGTGTGTATTTGGGTTTTTCTTAGTCTAGAGAGCTGGAGAACATGCAGACTATAAATCAGAAAAATGTGCCTAACTATAAAAAGTAAAGCACACATAAAGCCTGGGTAGGCTGGTCAGCCTCTGTTCCTGTGAGTTCTGAAGAGTGTGTTGGAAAAACAGCTGTTAGGAACAGCATAGCTGCAGCTGATCCTGCTTTGGGGAAAGAAATTACATTGATGAATGCCTGCAGTGTCTTCCAACCCAGTTTTCTATGAATAACTAGAGAAGAATAATTTCTGGTGTGGATAGTCTTAATTTAACTTGTATTAAAATAATTGTCCCCTTTTTTCTTCTTCTTTTTCCCCCTTTAGCTGCAGTCAATTATTCAGAAAGTTATTACCTATATTTATGACTTCTCTCTGCTTTTTTCAGTGGTAAGTGATACTCTGTTTAATAAATTTGTAAGAACTATTTTGTACTGCTTCTGCAAGAGAATTTACCTGTCTTGAATATTTAGATTGTTTGCACCCTAACATAGTGCGAGGACTTTTTATCAAGTAGATAAGTGTAGAAACATTTTGGAAGCTCTCTGCTGCTTACTACTTGAATATTCATGATTCTAATTCCAATTTTCTATACTTTTTTCCCCTTAGGCTTAGTTTGTTTGTTACTATGGCCTAAGTGATGATCAATGGGAGATAAAGTACCACTGATGTGTGTGTGTGTGGTGTCATGTAATTGCTGATAGCTGTTTCTCTGTTACGCTATACACTTAATATGCTCTGCCATAGGGCTTAAGTTTGGCATTGAAACAAAGTGAAACTTAGAGAGGTCAGAGACTGGATGTGAGGTAGACAAAGAGGAACAAAGAGAGCGAGTGTCAAAGTATTGAAACCAGTTGAAGAGTAAAATTTCAAGACTGACCCTGTGATTTGGAGTCAAGTCTTGTTCACAAATTGCTCAGATAATTCTGACAAACTTACGTTCGCTATATTCTTGATGTTACGGAAACTAAGTATTTCAGTATACAACCTAAACTCTTATCTTTGAAGAAAATTTGAATGTCTTGGACCTTCATATCTTGCCCTGGATACATGCAAAATGGTTGCTGGCATGTGGCCTCTTTTAATTGTTTTTAATATCCTACCTTTTGTTCCCATAGAGGTCTGAATTTGTCATGATCTTAACCTGTTTCAAGCATATGATTGCTTTTAAAAAATTTGCAACATTTGATTCTGTGTTTTGTGTTTTATTCTGGATCTCTGCAATCAATAAATCGATACACCTTTCAGCCATCAGTGCTTTTCCAGTTGTTCCACTCTCATCCTTCAAGATTAATTACTGTCTTCAAAAAAGATTAAAATAATTTTAACTAAAACAGCTATGATTATAAAACTTGTCCAAAATATTTATTGTTTTAGTGTGCTATTTGTAAAATACCTAATTTTACTTGTTTATGTATTTGTACTTTCAGGAGAAATTTTTGCCATTTCTGGATATGTTCCAGAAGGAAAGTGTGAGAGTGGAGGTTTGCAAGTGCATTATGGAATCTTTTATTAAGTAAGTGGAGAATATTGAGATTAAATGCACTCTGGAGGGTCTGGGGAATGTATTGAAAGATTGCTAGGGAAGATGAGTCAGTATATAGGCCACTTAGCTTCTGAAGGTGTTCTAGGCTATGGGGAAAAAAATGAAAATGTGTCAATTTTGTTAATGTATTGATTGACTGTTTAACTGCTCTCAAAGCAAGCTGAAATGGAAGTAATCACATTGATGCTGACTTGCTGTGGATTAACAGAGTAGTTGTTCTCTGAGCTTTTTTAAATTTATGTTGCCTTAGTTGGTTTATGAAAATTATTTCCTATTCCAGCTGATGTGACAGCAGAGAACCGTTACCTTGGTATAATGGAGGAAGAGAGGCAGTCTTGTTACAGGCTCCATTATGTAGAAAAATGGGTGTTTCCACAGTTGAAAATGAACTTTGACAATATTTGAAGATGAAGCCTCATCTTCTAAGTCAAACAGTCCTTTTCTTTTCAAACAATTAACAGGTTCCTTGAAACATTTTTTTTTTTTTTTTCACCTTCCCTTCAGATATTTATATACACTGCTAAGCCCCCCAAGCCTTTTCTTCTCCAGGCTAAACAGTCCCAGCTCTCTTGGCCTTTGCTTGTATGAGACACGCTGCAGCTCCTTAATCGTCTTAGTGGTGCTCCACTGCACGTGTGCCTCTGTACCTAAACGTGACATTTATCCTTCCTGCCTGTCCATCAGTAGCTGATGTTGCTTCTTGGTTGATCTAGGATTGCTTTGTTTTGATGTTCTTGGGTTGCCTCAATGTATGATGTCTCTAGCTTGTTGTGTCCCTTAGGGAGTCAGATTCTGTGCCTTGGCAGTAAAGCTCCCTGTATTAAGATAATATCTCTTGACTGGTGTTTGTTGGAATTGTACTATCTATTAACCATGTGATCTTTGGAGTTCTGTTGGTTAAAAAATGACTATAAAGCTTGCGTAGTGTCATACAATGCCGATGACTGGAATTATGCATTACACCAGTGTTATTCAATGCATTGTTCTTCATTTTGACAGAGCACAATTTTTCATCACTTTTTCTAAAACATTTTGTAGGCATCAGCAGGATCCTGTTATACTCAATGCTCTTCTGCATATCTGCAAGACAATGCATGATTCTGTGAAGTAAGATTAACTTTACTCATACTAGTAACTGTCATTTATGCAAAGTTTGCCTGCTTGGTGTACAGTTTTGCATTTCTGAGGCTGTTTGTTCCATGGTAAATTAAGACATGGATCCAATTAGTGGTGAAGAAAGAGCTGTGCAGTGAAGTGGCAGCACATACCATTTGCTCTTATAATTATTACTTTATTTTGAGTACTAAAGCAGAATTTTAAAAGGAAAGTAGCAACGGTTTTGTAGAGTTTTCTACTGAAGCAGAGACACTAAACAATCCAATCTTCAAAAAATATTTTTGAGAGTGAAACCACTGTAATCGTTAAGTGAATAATAAACTATTTTTGAAATTTAAGTGAGTATGTAGCTATTAAAGCACAGATTGCCATACTCAATTATACTTTTTTTGGGGCCACTGTTTTCAGCCATTACAAAGGGGTATGGACACCTGGAAGATCTCTAGAAACTTGAGCAGGGGAAGTAGAACAGAGACGCTCTTGAACCATCTATGTCTTTCCCCTAAATCCCCTTCACTTTTCCCCTTGACTTTGAGTGCCGAGGTTGTTGGGGATCCTGGGTGCCCTGTTGCACCCTCACTGAATAGCAGTTGTGAAAGTGATAGACAGTTGTGGTTTGTGGGTAACTTGCAAAAATCACGCAGAAACCTGTGCCTGATTGAAAATAGAGCCAGAATCACAATGCTGCAAATTTTAGATCTTAAGAGCAAAAATCTCCTTTTTTCTTCTGGTTTGGGTTGAGTAGAGTTTCTTTTGGTGCTCCGAGCCCAGAGCCTCTTAGCATGGCAGACCCTGTAAAGGAACTTGTAAGTTTCTCAGCCTTGATTTGCCATGAATGCAAGATTTATTGCCAATAAAGAAGTTGGATTTGGCGTGTTATTCCAATTTATACCAGCTAGAGTGCTTTATTTTGGGTTAGAACATCTTATTTGGCTGTATGTTGCACTAAAAGCCACTCAACCTTTAAACAGAACAATATATTGAAGCTAAAACAGCTTATTAAAAAAATGAAGTTGTTTATGGCAATCCATATTTGGTGCTTCCTCTGACGTTTTGCCAAAACAATTTGATAGTTTCCTGGAATCCTTAAAAATCCCTTAAACCAGCAGTTCAGTTCTTTTCGCTGAGATAAGGTGATGTACATCGTCAGCTTGACTCAGTTGTGTCATCTCGTATTGGCAAATCATCATAAATTCGAACTATCTTAAGGTAACTCCTGCATCTGTTTTTACGTTGTGGTTCAGGAAACTCCCAGCCCATTGTGTGGGGCTCGCTGACCCCCTCACAGCTGTGGGAGGATAACAGCCTGTGGACTGGTAGGGCTCTGATTCAGAATTGAACTGGAAACCTGTAACTGACCCGGAGATCTCATTACAAGTCTTCTGAGCCTTTCAGAGCCCATCCGTCGACTCTTTTGATTGGCAGTGCACTAATGAGCTAATCGTGCTGAGATTTTCTTTCCTCCTTTACTGAATTTGTATAATAAAACTATTGTTCTCTTCCCATCTGGTGTCTGAGCTAGGAAATTGGTAACTGATATACTAAAGGTCAAAGCTGGAGCCAAGTATATAATAGTAAAAGGATTAAATTGTATTAGTTAATTGTTATTTAACTTTTTGTTCATCCATTTTCAGGGAAACAGGTTTGACTTACTGGATTTTAATGTGATGTAAATTTGTTTCAAATCAGATTTAGATTCTTCTGTAGACAAGAATCTAAATTCTGTAGACAATATCGGTGATAATCTTGAAACTCTTTTTACATATCAATTTAGTTCAGTTCTTACTAAAACATCAAAAAGGCAGCACTGTAACAAGGGATGTTAATTATGGTTAAATAATTATTTTTTAAATAATTAACAGGGTTAGTAAAAAACCAAAATACCAAAAACCCCAAACAAAACAATAAACTAATGTTGTTTCTAAAATAAATACATGAACTATTACATATACTTTTTAAAGTGTATTTTAAAAGCTTTTCTCCTTAAATAGGATAACTTTCTTCTAAGAATTGATTTACTAATTTCTTTATGTTTTTATAATTGGTTCCTACTCAAGTTCTCATGTTGTAACACAAGACTGAAGCCATTTGCTTGCTGCAGTAAAGCAGAGAAGAATGTTAGCTTGGCTTCCTTCTCATGCCAAAATCTGAGTTTCTGTAAAATGTAAAGACACTCTTAGCGATTTTTTTTTTTTTTTTTAAAAATTTGGAATTTAGTTTGGCACATGGTTGACTTGGTAATATTCATATTAAAATTATTTTTATTGCTTTGCAACTAAAATTACAAGCTTTGTGGTCTTAGTGTGCAATAAATATTTTATATGGACATAACATTATATAAATTAGTATGTATCATTTGACCCTTTTACAGATAAATAAGATAAGCAATATTCTAAAATTTGCCATATGCATTTTCTCTTATAGCGCACTAACGCTTGAGGACGAGAAAAGAATGTTAGCAGCTTTGATAAATGGATTCATAAAAATGGTGAGTTGACAGTTGTGTGCACCTGTTGGGTTGTACCTTCAAGCCAGGATTTTCTTGAGATCCCCAGGAGAAACAGGTGCCCGTGTAGCTGAATCAGAGACAGTGTCTGACTTGCTTCAGACTGTTGAAAACCTCAACCCGTGTATTTTAGTGAAATAAGTGTGCCTGTGTTGAAAGAAATACCATACAGTATTGATGCTGCCATGGTGCAATATGAGAGTTTAAAGTGCACGTGTTGTTTATTTAATCATATTTTCTGCTAGTTTTTTAAATCTCATGTTAAACGTGGTAAGTATTTGAAAGTTAGAGCATTTAATGTCTTGTCTATTAGAGCAACAGAGAGGTCGGTGATTTGTGTGAGTGAAGTTCCACTACCCAGCTCTAAATGGAACCAATACCAGCTTTAAAAAACACAAAATAAATGTAACGTGTATGTTATTCTTGTCTCTATATTAATTTACAAATAAGATAATTTGCATCATCAGATTACTAGTCCCACAAAAACTCTAGTTGTTTTGTCTTGAAATTAATTTTTAACCCTTCCCTCCCTCTTATCCCAGTAAAATCTTTTGTTCTTGTCTGTTGTGTTTGAGATGTCAGGTTGTTTTAGGGAGATGTGCTCAAGCTTTTTTTTTATTCTCTAGCCAGGTACTCTCAGTGCTTGGCTTTTTTTCCCAGAGTCAGAGCTGACAGGCTTTGTCTCTACTTGTCCTCTTTGTTGCAATTCTGTGAATTTATCTTTAGATGGTTGCTTTCTCTTCAGCTATAATATTTTGCTATTTAATGTTTTAAATATAATTTTGCTTTATCAAGCTTTATATGCAGTATAATACTGTATAATTTCCTTTAGCCGGATTTCCCACATTGAATAATATTTGATGTGGCTTTATAGTCTTGGTTTAAGAGGGAAAAAAAAATCCCATAGCAGCAACATGACTAGTTATGCGTTTTAAACTGGCACACATTAAGATGTGGAGGGAAAAGCAGTTGTAACAGTCATCCTTACAGTCAGGCTTTTTTATGGAAAATTTTATATTTTTAGAGAAGCTTTCTTGACACTAGGGCTCCAGACTCAGCAGTTGCACAAATAGAAGAAAGGCAAAGACAGTTGTCTGTAATGTAAGAAGCAATCCTTTGTTTTCTGGTGCATTTCCTTTGATCTTTCACTGTATGGATTAAATATAATTTTTATTTTAATTCTGTAAAAACTTCTTACGCGTGTAGCTTGAGAAATAATGAATAATGCAACCTTTACTTCTATTAGAAAAAAATTCCATTTGAATGCATAAATGTAGACAGACTGCCTGGAGACTTTCTCTTGCTAGGCTTTTAATTGGCAGCTGAGACACTGCAGCTGTGACAGCTCTTGGTTTTTTAAAATCTGGAGGGTTGGAAGTAGAGTGTTCTCACACAAGGGCTGGTTTTGACTTCTTTCCTGCCAGCATGCACGGTTGCAGGCTTTTGCCATACTATATAAGCATATATTTATTAACCAGACTTGAGGAAAACCTGCTTTCCTTACTGCTATGTCTAGTTAGGAAAACGCTAACTTTTCTTGGAGGCCCTTTAGCAGCTACCAATTACAGGAATCTGAATACCGATTCACTGATCTATATCTGTTTTTCTGGGGTTTTTTTGTTTTGCTTTTTAAAGTATGATTTATACCAAGCCTTTGTCCCTGTTCCATAAAGAATCAAGAGTTCTGCTAGTTTTGAAAACACTTTGCAAATCTACGATTTCAATTTTGCTTTCTTGATAAGTACTAGATCTGTAAAGTAGAAGATCATGTGGAGAATGGACAAAAAAACCCCTGCAAAACCTTCCAGGTTTCCTGGAAAGCAGATGGTTAAAAGGACAGAGATTCTTCAGGTGCTATTCTGTTGTTAATGTTGGTTTTTTTTTTTCTTCTTACCAGTATATGGGGATTCTGACTTTTGAATATCTGTGGTTTATCTGCATGCAGTTTTATATTTCTTAAAGTTAATGGCCTGCAACGGTAAAATCTAGGGGTTTGGGTTTTTTTTTTCTGTTACAGGTTTCATTTGGTCGTGACTTTGAGCAACAGCTGAGTTTCTATGTAGAAGCCAGGTCAATGTTTTGCAATCTGGAGCCTGTTCTGGTCCAGTTGATTCATGTAAGCTACAGTTTATCTACATTATCTTGATAAGTGGGAATATATTTGCCGTTCTCCCGTTCCCTGCCCAGATTATTGGTCTATGTCAAAATAAGTCTGAAATCTTTTTATCAGGTGTTTTTAAAGTAGACTTTGATCTCATCTCTCATTTTATCACCCCAGGCTCTGAAGTTCTTGCTTGACAGGCATGCATGATATCCTTGCAACAAAGCAAACTGGCTATTTTGCAAGAAATTTCGTGTCTAATAAAATAAACGGCACTCTCGAGCATTCAGAATTTGGGTTCTCTCTTCTATAATCCTCGATTTAGGAGAGATTAGACTGTGTCTCGCTGCATATAGGCAGAGTCCTGCTGTGATTGGGAAGGTTAATCTCTGTTCTGTACTGAGTCACATGTCAGGTGAGCATTAGCTGCATCTGATTCCTTTACAACATTGTATCTTCTCTTAAATTCTTCTATTATTTTATTTTTGGTTTTTGTAATAAGAGCGCTAGCTAGTAATCACAATTTTTACACCACAAAGGAGGTGATGACAGCACTGTATCAGGGTCCTTCTTGACAGTTTCTGCTCTCTAAATGCATGCAGTAAAACATACAGTTTGTTGTTTGCTGCTGACCTAATAGATCTGTGCATTTTTCTTAATTCTTTGCTTTTTGTTTTTATGTGTAGTCTGTGAACCAACTAGCAATGGAAACAAGAAAGGTGATGAAAGGAAATCATTCCAGAAAGACTGCTGCATTTGTCAGGGTAGGTCTGACTAATAAATTTGAGCCTACCTTCTTAGCAGATAATACTCTCTGCTGTCACCTAAGTTTATTATTTTTGCAAAAACAGTATGTTAGTATTTTTTGACACTGTTTGTAGTCTCGTTTTCTTTCATTACCATTGATCTTCACTCTCTAAAGCCAAATGCTGCAGTTTAAGAAAAAAAAAATACCCAAAGCTTCTAATAGCTTTGTGTTAAAAAAGAGCAGCAAGATCAACTCCCTCTCTAAAAGAAGGTTCATTGGAGAGGTGTTTGTGTGAGTTCTAGAAAGCTCTGCTATATTTGAAATAAAATACTTAATTTTTATGCAACTCAATCAGAGAGAGAGGGGGAGATGGGGGGAAAGAATACATTTAAACCTCTGTCTCATAATATCAGCGTTGATATACTGAAATCACTGTTGGAATTTCAAATAAAATGTTCCTTTCGGCTTTAGTGCCTCTGAGTCTGTATAGATATGCTCAAATGAGCTTTGAACTGTGCACAGGCTGTGCAAGTTGCTTGTGTTCCCCTCTTCTCACCTGAAACATAGCAACGAAGATGTCTTCACCTTCATGTGTTGTGAAGATGTTTGCATATTAATAGATTTTTGTTCATGGCACCCCCGCACAATTTCCTGGAGAAAGGATAGTTAGGGTGACACTGGCCAACTTCTGTGTGCCTGGGAGCCACTCGCTCCAGCAAGGTGGTTGGGGTGCAGCGTGCTGCACGAGGGCTGCTCCCCCTGCCCCATGTCCACCAGCGGGGCTGTCCCTGAGGACCAGGACTCTGCTCCTCTAGTTAGATGTGGTCTTGAGCTGCAAGCTGCTTGCTTGAGGAGAGAGGATCTCAGTAAGTTTTGCGCTAATCTACTCATAATAACAATAATTACTAATAATAAATACTGTTATAATTATTGACATAATAATGAGAAAGTTGAAGTTGCTGATTTTGGACTTCACATAATGTTTGCTTTTTATTAAAAGTCTTTCCCAAAACTGACTTACAGATTTTGATTCCTAACCGTGTATAAAATCAGTAATGATTGCTATAATTCCGAGTCAGGAATTTTCTTCAGTTTCATTTTTTTAATTTGCTTTAGGCTTGTGTTGCCTTCTGCTTCATTACAATTCCATCTCTGAGCAGTATCTTCACACGTCTTAATCTGTACCTACACTCTGGACAGGTTGCTCTGGCAAATCAGTGTCTTTCACAAGGTAAGGCACGAATTTGTTGACTTAAAGGTTCTCTTATTTCAGAAATATTTCTAGCTGTGAATAATAACTTGGTTGAAATCACAAGTCATATATTTATGATGTACTTAAAATACAGCCCTGTTTCAAGCACTGTTACAGTGAAAACTTGTCATATTAAAGCAATTCTTCGATTCTAACACTAATCCTGTGATCTAAATAACCAAGACAGCTGGCTCTGGTTGACGTAGTCATGTCTATGAGGTAGGTTGTCCTAAATTACTTAGAAATTATGGAAAGCATGGAATGTTTTTCTCCTGCATACTTATGCAGGCACTCTAATCACAAATGATGTGCTTTATTATAACTGGAAAAAGAAACTAGTTAATCTGTGTAGTAGTTCATGGGCTGACAAACAAGCTGGAAGAGAATTAAAACTTAGGTCAAGGACACCAGAAACTTGCTATCAAAGCACATGTGTGATAAATGCTTAGCTAAGGAAATGCACTACTATATCAGAGTGAAACGATGGAATAATACCAGATAATATGAAGAACAAAAAATATCTTTTCTTTTTTTGATCTCCATTATTGGTTGAACCAGGGCCTGAGTACAGTTGCTAGCCATCCTGTTAGCTCAATCTTAAGTAATTGGAAATTCTGACAAAAAGTGATTTGGGGAAAAAAAATTGAGCTACTCTGGGACCAGAATGGGCCTGAAGTCTGTGTCACCGTTTAATATGATCTTGTTCCTGTTCGTATCACAAATGGAAGACAGTTACCTATTCTGAAAGTCTTCTCGTACTTTTAACTGTTTGCAGTATCTTTCTTTTCCTTTTTAAAGTGATGTCATTCTACTTTGTTTTGCAATTTTCATACTGACTTTAAATGCTTTCCGATGGTAAATGCTTTTCCTTTACATGTTTTCAGTGGAGCTGAGAGAGTTATAAATTGGATTGCTTTGCAACATCTTTTATTGTGGCTATTAATTCTTTGTTTTAGCTCTGTGCTTCTTTCTGAGAGCTTGTTTTCCAAGCTGTGCGTTTACCAGTAAGTTCCAGCTGCACAAACAAGCTGACTTAGGATGCTGATTAAGACTTTTTAGTACAGGGTGACTGTTGTATTTCTTTGTTTTGAATCTGATGCTGCCCATATAGCAAAGCAGAGGGATTTAGAGTAAAGCTGGCTGTTGTGTCCAAGTATGTTGTGCAAATAAAAGAGCTGCAAAGTCTGTTGTTGTGCACGGTCTGTATTGTGCAGTTTATTTTTGGGTAACAGTTTACCAAAAATGGACTTGTTTTTTCTTCCTATGATGTTTTGTTTAATTGACCAGCTTACCTTATCCTTTGTATCAGTTTTTGTTACTGTTGCTGTGTTGCAGTGCATCTTTTGCTGGAAGGAAATCTAAAGCAGTTTTTCTGTAATATTCGGTCTTTGAGGACTATGTCCTGCCCATGTTGGGACCAACTCTGGGGTTTAATAATCTTTCCATTTATAAACTGCATTTCCACTATTTTTGAGATCTAACTCTTCTCAGAGTGAGACTCCTGGGCCCCAACAATTGTCTAGGTTTTTCAGTGTGAGAGTTTATAAACGTGCACAGCTGCTGTTTGACACGTGAACACAGTGCACTCACTAAACAATGAATAGGATCCCCACTCTGAAATCTTTTAAGGTAGCAGGTAAATGCAAAGTATTATGAACTCAATCTCAAATGTCTGTCTATTAGCCACTCTCTCCTGAACTTTAGACCCACAAGAGAGAGGAGCATTTGGTCCATCTCAGCTTTTGTTGAAATGAAACGTGCAAAAAACCCCTCTGGTGTTCAGTAACTCCATCTACCAAGGTTCTATTGTTACACCCTTTTTTGCTTCCTTAGAAAAGCTGTTTTGGGCATAATTTGTATTCAGAGACAAGTTGCTTGTATGAGTAATTTAGCATGTGTTAACCAGTTGGTGACAGTGCCACCAGTCTTGGGACATTTTTTGTGAACTGTCTTTGCATATTCTGATGTTTTGTAGTCAGATAACGTGTCCTTGAAAGCTACCTTTCACACAGTTCAATCTGTGTATCAACTGAATGCATTTCATGTGTGTAAGAAGTACTGATTAATTCATAACAGGAAATTTAAATCCAGTCCGTTAACTGAGTTAACTGATGCCAATTAGACCCTAATCTACTAAAACTAATGCAGCATGAAGTGAAGTTTTAAGAGTATGCAATTAATGATAGCATTAGGCTAGGAGGTGAAATTGTGCCTTCTGTGTAACCTTTATTTCAAGCTGACTGGAATTAGCTTAATCAGTTTAAAATTGGGAAGAGAAATAAAACTGAAAGGTAATGTACCTGATCTGATAGCTCAGTCAGTAGTGGGGCACGCGCGTGTGCATGTGCACGCAGTTTCTCTGTAAAGATTCCAGCTGTTGTTTTTAGCGAGTTAAATTCTTAGAATTTTTTTTTTAAATTTTAATTTCCTACGGGGAGTCTAGCTATTTCAGTGAGTTGAGTTTTCACCTAAACATGCAACAAAATTGAATTTCACAGGATAGATTTCTGTTGGCAGTAGGAAGATTTCTCTAAATTGCCAACGTACCTAACTTGAAAAAAGAATAAAATTACCTTTGGGGTAGATAAGGGGAATTTAAAAGATTGCTTTTTTTATGAAGAGGATGTGTGGGTTGTAACAGTAAATAGTTTGCTGACCTGAGGATTGCACTGATAAGCTACCAACAACTGGAGAGCTACAGCGAATCTGCTCGTAAGTGGAGGAGTTCGGGTTTTGGCTCCTTCCCCATCTCGAGGGGTCACAGAGCATCGGTCCCTGTGTCTCGCTGTTCCTACTTCCTCTGTCGAATCAGAGCCCTGTCCCCTGGGGTTCGCCACACCGTTAATCAAAGCAACTCTGTGGTGCTTGTTTGAACTCACCCAAATACTTCAGTATTATAAAACTGTAATTGTAATATTTCTTGGAATAGATTTTCATTAATACAATGCAGTTGGGTCAGAAACATGAATTTATAGGCTCATGGAAAGTCCAGTATTAATACACTGATGGATGTCTGTCCAGGTATGTTGTTCAACGTGTTTTAAACACAGCTGTTGTCTCTTCTGTCTCCACCTCCCAAGAGGTACTTTAAATATCTGTAATTACGTTCAGAATGTTTTAGGTGATCTTGTCCGGGATGCATAGTTTGTGCCTCTGGAGAGCCTTTTAAAAGCCCACCTTAGAAGGGAAGATGCTAGATTTGAGAGATGTGCTTTTCATTTTTCTTTAACTGGGCCACAGAAGGCTGCATGCTGCCAACATAGAGTAATAAATTCTCATCGGTCATGCTTTCTGTCATAGGGAGTGCTTGGCCTAAATTGAGATGAAATGCACGCTCTGTTGTGTCACTCTTCTGGATTTCTGAGATATAGGTGTTATTTTAATGTCATGTATTTCCTCCCTGTGGAAATGCTGCTTTTGCCTGTCAAAGAACAGACAGCATGACTTTTTAATTGTTGGTCACAGCATTCAGCGGGTGGGTAGAGATGACACAACTTTCTGGTAATGTGTGTTGAGTGGCCTTTTTATTTTAAAGGCTGTGAAGTCCTTGCCTCGCTTCAGAAGTAACACGCTGAGTGATAAAGTAATTCAACTGACTCTGTGTGACAGATTTCACTGGGATATTGTCAAACATAAAACTTTATAAAAATGAAGAGTCTTTGTCCCCCAACCTTGCCTCACTTCAGAAGTAACACGCTGAGTGAATAAAGTAATTCAACTGACTCCGTGTGACAGATTTCACTGGGATATTGTCAAACATAAAACTTTATAAAAATGAAGAGTCTTTGTCCCCCAAATTAACTGATGCGGATCTTTTGTTTTGTTTAGCAAATGCAGATTTTAATTCTGAAGCGTGCAGTGCTTAAAGTACTTCAAGATATTTGTTCTGTTCTTCAAATGTAGCTGAAACACAGTTTCACTAGTAGATTGCAAAAGGAATTTCTTCTTCTGCTTCAGAAAATGTTACTTTTCATAAGTGTTCTCTAAATATGACAGACTTCAGCCAGACTTTGGAGAACGTATGGTATGGAGTATCTAATAAACAGTTTTTAATCATAGTCTAATAATGTTTTAGTGTATTTTCTCAGCATTAGATAACAATTTTTAGTATTCCTTCTTAATCTCCTAAAATCTTTATAGATCTGATGAATATAAATAGACTATATATAGAATTTAAGGTAAAGAATTTAGAGAAATAAGAACCTGACGAAGTTTTTACAGATTTTGGGACTTACTGGCTCATGCTTCTCTGGTGAGATCAGTACATGCTGTTACCTTTTTAAATCCTGTTTTCCCTGAAGGCAGCAAAGTAGCTTTGGGAGGAACTGATGCGATACTGTTTTCCTTGCTAGTAATACTAAATGTTGCTTTATTTGGACAAAATTATGACTTGTACTGTTTCCTGAGATTTCCACAGCTGGAAACTTCTCCCATTCACACAACTTTTTCTTGTTCCGCTTTTTATCTCAGCCAATAGCTTTTCCATGTGATGTGAGAGAGATGACATCTCTGTCTCTGTAAGCTTTTCAGACTAGCGTTTCATATGTTTGTCAGTTCTTCAAGTCTGTCTAGCCCCTGACCTGTTTTGGAAAGTGTCTAGCAGCATCTACTAAGGGAGCGTAAAGGAAACGATAGCGTAGAATGATGCTTCCTAGCTTTCACCTGCAGGTGGTCTAAATACATCCTTCAACACAGGTTGCATATGGACCACGGCATTTAATAAAACAGGTGGACCAATCCTTAGGAATTTAATTATTTTAATCAATTTTTACTTTTTAGCCTTTGTAACTTCATGTGACAATGAGTTCCACAGTTACATGCTACTTGGAAATCTACTCTTAGGGATTTATTTCTGTATGGTTTTTTAAATGTTAGCTGAGTGTTTCAGTGCATCCAGCTGATCTACTAGTGATGCTGTGAAAAAATCAGTCATTCTTGGTTCATTTTCTTCATGCTACCTATGAGATGATGGAGTAGCTAAGCTCCTGAAGAATGTGTGTCAGTATAGTCTTTTCTAATAAGGAAACAGTTCCATGCCTTAGCACCTTTTTTAATCTTCTATTTATCCTTTTGGAAATGGGAAGATCAGGACTGTCTTCCAGGTATAAATGCACAGCAGCTGTATAAATGATACAATGACACCTCAGTTTTCCATTACTGTCCTAATGATTCTTATAATTGCCTTGCCTTTCGACAGCTGTTTAGGATGTAGTTTTCAGGAAACCATCTATAATGACTCCAAAATCTTTCGTGAGCGTAAATAGCCTATTCAGAGCTTATCTCTCTATAGTTATAGCAAGGGCTGTTTCTTTCCCCGCATGCCTTACTAATATAAGATTTCATCTGCTGCTTTATTGCTCAGAATCATGAGATCCATCTGTGATGCTTTGCAGTCACGTTCCAGACGAGTCTGCAAACATTGTCACCTCCCAGCTCACCATAAGGACATGTCTCGCTGCAAAACCTTAAGGAATGTGGTAGTTGTTTCACTCCACCATGAAAACTTTTTAATCCTGCTCCTTTCCCTCTCTGCCCCATCCTTTATTAAGTTGTGAATCCTCAGGAGGACTTTCCTCCTTATCTTTTGTCAGCTTAGTTTTAAGAGCCTTTTGTATGAGGGACATTGTTAAGTGTTTTTTAAAAATCTAAGTATTTGTGTTTGCTGGGTCGCTCTTAAACACAAACTTGCTGGTTCTTTGGAAAACTTGCGAGACTTCTGAGGAATGATTTCTCTCTGCAAAAACCATATTGACTCTTCAGTGTTGTATCATGTTTTTCCATGCGTCTGCTCATTTGAGATTTTTTTTCAGATTTTTTTTCCCCACCTCATATATCCTGGAGAAACTACAGTATTTAACTATAGCATTTATTATTTCAAAGTTTCCAGTATTACTAATGGAGCTCTCTTTAAAGACTGCTGATGATACTTTACCTCACAGTCTGTAGGGATTACATGGAATTTAGAGAGGTAGGCTGAAATTTGTGGTTGGGTTGTTTTGGGGTTTTTTTGGGAGGTAGTATGTGTTGCATTTACTGATTAGAGCTTAAGAATAAAGTATCTTGTATCCAGTGTTCTTGCTCATACTGTACGATCATCCTGTACGACTCTTCCCTTCCACTTACGCCTCTGTATGCCTTTGGAAGTACTAAGGCCTTGCTAACAATCTGTAATCAAGCTAGTCCTAAAACTAGCACTAGCAAGCTTCACCCGCATAATTACCTTTTTATCTGCAGCTAATTCTTGGTATGAATTAATATGAATTAACATAGTATGCTGCAGTTCACCAAGCAGCAGCGCATTCATTTCCTTATGTCATCTGTGTTACTTCAAATAATTCTTTGTAGTTTCTGGATTGGAAGTGATGCGTAGAGGGTTTTAAGACATATAACTTTCAGTAAAACAATAGGTCAAGGGAAAAACACATTTGAACAATGTGGCAAAACTCTCACAGTGACTCACCAAAGTGAGGAGAAGGAATGCCAACTGTTTGCAATGCTTGGTCGTCAAAACAGTAATGCATTAATTAACAACAAGAAAAAAAGGGGGGGCGCACGCGCAACGAAAACCCCACGCTTGCTTCCCATTAGGTTTTTTGCACTGGAGTACAAGGCTTCATTAAATTTCCAACATCTGTCGGATGTGGTAGCAGAATCTTCAGAGCATTAAAATATGCTTGACAGCATCGTAGGACACGAAGGTGATGCAGAATGCAAAGACTGCGTCTGGTCCCTGGTTTTGTCCTTTGGGTGGGCTTAGCCTCGTGTCACTGTATCCGTGATTAAAAATAGTTTGTGTAGGTATGTCAAACTCACTCCCTTTTGCTGTTTGAAGGTGGACTTAAGGAGCTTAATTGTTTTCCCATCTCTAATGGCTTTGCCCCTCCTTGTTTTTTTGCCAAGATGCAGCAAATACAATTTAAGCTAGATTTTTATATGTAGAGAGATTGCTGTATAGAAATATATGGAGGTGCATGTATTTGTGTTTGTATATAATTAAATGTATGTGTGTGCGTACCATCATGAATATTGACAATAACAAACATTCAACACCAATCTCAGTTGCTTTTTCTGTAGGAGAGTATTAGTGGAAGTGCTGACTTGGATAGCCAAGACTGCTAGTTTTCACAGCCTGAAGGTCAGCATGTATGTATGCTCGGGGGAAAGATTTACAGGATTATGGTCAACCAAAATGAAGGAGCTGCTGTGAAAGGATATATTTAGTGAAGCATGAAGTATGTCATGTTCGGAGCACTGCACAAGATATTAACAGCGGTCTGGGAAGACTTTATCATGATGATTTGTTGCAAGGCGCAGGCTGCTCTCCCCTTATCCAACTTAACAGTGGCTCACTTTAGAAGCAGTATCATACTTTAGGCAGATAAGAAAACAGCATCCTTCACCAGAAGCAGCCTTTTTTATCTTTTTTTTTAATCAAGAACATAACATCGTTGTGGTTATTGGTGCTTTTTAAGTGGTTCCTTACACCTTTTGGAAGCCAGGAAAAGCGGGTGTATGGTTTTCTCTTGAAACGTATCTATAGTAACAGTACTGTAAATTGACTTTTAAAAGATACAGAGAAAGGACTGTTGCATAACCTCATAACTAGTGTAATTCAGAATTAAGTACCGATGCTTATTTCATACTTAAGCAGTCAGCACTTCTGTGGCAACCTATTTAGTGAACTTTTCTTTGAAACTCAGAGCATGCGATGCATACTCTGACACCTCTCTACAACTGAACAGGCTGGTAGTGTTTGGAGGACTGTTAGTTTTCTGCAAACTCTCTAATAAAACCTTTGCATTAATGTGATTTTACTTTATTTTTGCTTGTTAGGCAGCACATACACCTGGGGTGAATGTGCTTTTAGTGTTCCAGCATAAGAACCGTTTTGTGGTGAGCACAGATTGGCTGAACTCGTAGCAAAATGAACGTACTTTCCTTTGCCAGTGCTTCTGGATGTACCATGGTAAAATATTCCAAGTATTCTCTTTAAGGAAAATGCAACTACCTGCTCTTAGGCTCTGTTGGCTTTTTTGGTTTGCCCTGTTGCCTTGTGCAAGGGGCAGGGGGAACAAGGCAAGGAAGAAGAATTACAAGCGTGGGGGTCTCCCTGTTGCGCTGAGACAGCCAGAGGGGAAGGCAACGCTCGTGCGCAGCGACGGTGGGAGGTCAAGAAGCATAAATTGAATCAAATGGCAGTTATTCATAGCCAGGAGAAGAGGTGTTGGGTTTGTGCTAAGGCAGCAGCTCAGCAGAGAATGTCTAGGGCTGCGATTGCTGGGAGAGCGGGCAGTGAATGAAGGTGAGGTGCTCCGCAGCTCTTCTGCTGCGGAGGCTGATGGCTGCATAGGTGGTTCCTGTCCCGTTACGAAATCACTTCGGAAGGCAGGAGCGTTCTCTGCACAGCCATGGGCACTTTGGCACGCAGACTGTTTTCTGAGACACGCTTTTCATTTGTCTGGTCACATGTTTTGATTATATGGTGATGTGGGGCACGCACTTTTTTTTTTCCTGCTGAACAACTGTGGAAGTGACGGCGATTGATTTACTTGTGCTAGAATGAACATCTGCTGTTGCTTTCCTTCCTCTAATAAAGCTCGGAGAAAGATTACTTCCCTTCCTTTGGGTTGGCTATGTAAACTTACATGTTGTTTGAAATAAATAAAACCATTTTTTTTCACCTCAAAATAAATGTGCAGAATAAAAGAAGTATGACATTTGACTAAAGGGATCTGCGTTCTAAGCACTGAAAAGTTCAGAAGGGCTTGAGCATTTGTGTGCTGAAAAGAAATAAGAGTCAGAACAATTACAGTTTTTCCAAAGCACATGTTTCCCTGGTATTCCTCATAAGCTTAAATTAGATATCAGTTGGTACTATATTTAGCAAATTTGTTTGGAGTCTCATGTGCTCAAATGAATTTTTCCAGAGCAAGCTGCACTCCTGGAAATGTTCGTGCATGCCTGCAGTGGTATCTCCGTCCCAGCCCTGTAACACCTCTTGGCTCTCACCAAGAATTCTCTTTTTCTCTTTGCTAAAATTTGATTTCATAGCCTCGGTCTCTGTTCCTGTAAAATAAAGATACAGTATTAATTCCGAAGGATGCTTTGAAGTATATGGCTAAACAACTTGAATGGGCTTTGGATACTTGGATATTTTGAAATGTAGCCAAGAAAATGCAAAGGAATGTTGCTGTTGGAATCTTTTGTGAACTCTTAGCATATATAGGAGGTCCTCTAGGGTAAGAGGGAAAATGCTGTTGGTTTTAATGTGTGAGTATTAACTTAGTAAACTGAGGAATAGATGTTCTAGTGGGGTTGTTTTGTTTTTGTAGGATTAGTGTCATAATAAAGAGTTACGAAAAGCCTCTTAATAACTATTTTGCCAAGGCCATAATGGTGGATGGTTTCTCTAATTCCTGTGTTGTGATTCTTGGAAAGAATCACTTTATCTAGATAACCAGCAATACCCCAGGTTCTGGTACCGTATTAGTAGTTTACTTTTCATGACTGTAAATACTTAGAGAAATGAAGCTGTCCATACTTCCCGATAACTGTAACAGCCTTTTGTGAATGAATTAGTGAACAAGTTAGCATGGTCTAACACGCCTTTCCCCCTCTTTGGATTCCCCATTCTCCTGGCATAAGCATTTCTTTAGATAAGTCAATTTTGAATTGTGTGCTTTTAAAATTTTTTATTATATGTGCAAGATATTTGAAACAATGGTGTCCTCTTACTAAGCAAAGGGAGAAGAATTATCTCAGAAGTCTCGAGTGATGGGGGAACTTCTTTTCAAAAAACAGCATCACTTGAATTACTGCAGATTTTGACTGCTGAGTCTGGAGTTTCTTTGCAGTTAAGTGTACGTTCATTTTCTGTGGTCTCTTTGGAACAAACTGGAAGCAATCATTGGATCACAGGCATGACTGCCAGCGCAGTTGGAGTGATAACACGGCAACTATATTTTTATTTTGTAGCTGATGCTTTTTTCAAAGCTGCGGTGAGCCTTGTTCCTGAAGTGCCAAAAATGATCAGCGTAGATGGAAAGATGCGACCTTCTGATGCCTTCCTCCTGGAATTCCTTTGTAACTTTTTTTCCACATTATTAGTTGTTCCGGTAAGTTGTGTGTATATGAATAGTGCGTAGGTTAGTAGATATTTTGACTTTCCTGTTTAAAAATTTAGAGTAGACTGGGCTTTTGGGAGTGGGAGATGCAGTGGTTAGTTTTCCACAAACAAGCTGATTTACTCATTGGCTGCAAAACACTCACCCCAGTGCAAAACGGGGAGGCAGGACAATTGCTCGGAGGTGGAGGTACAGCGTTAATGTTGCCTGGCTCAGTAGTGCCTTGCACTTAACTGGATTTGGGGTAGAGTGAAATCTTGCCATCATTTAACTGTGTAAACATCATTTACTGTTCTAACAGGTTCTCGCAGAAAAGCGGTATTTTAGCTGAGCACTAATAAAATGTAATACCTGAGGAGAGGAAGAAGGTAGAGCTCTAGTTTCTGTTAGTTTCAGTTGGTTTCTTTGTTAGAGGTTGCCTAATCTTTTGACTGAAAACAGTCATTAGGAGATGTGTATAGCATAACCTTCCTCTTCTGATTAATATTTCACAAAATAAATACCATTCTACACCCTTTCAATTTTTAACCAATTGTCAAGTTTAAGTAGAGTTATCTATGTAATTTTCGTTCCTATATATTCAGTTGTAGCTAAAAGATGAGGAAAAATTGTAAACCAATCTGGAAGATCTGAGATAAAAGTTCTCTAGCCAAGGTATTTTGCTGACCTTGGAGAAGAAAGCCAGGCCTCTGACTCTCAAGATGTCACTGCACTGGAAACGTAACACTTGAAGATGTTGCCTCCCTCTGTTAACAGCTCTGACCCTCTCTGAGAAGATGCTTCTTTCCCAGCAAGAGTTGGCTCAGTATAATGGCATGGTTAAAAAAAAAAAAAAAAAGAGGAAAAAGAAAAAGTGTGAGGCTTATTCATTTTTCTCAGAGAAAGTAGGTTGTTCCTCCTCACTGGAACATTCCTTACGGCTTCTCCTTCCTTTTTTTCTTTGACTGCATGTTTGGTGAAGCAGCACAGGGTGCAGCGCTGTCCAAACCCTCCTAATCAGAGCGGTATATTCTCCTTTTTCTGATGGAAGGGGAAGGGGTCTCCCAAGCCACGCACGGTCGGCAGCGTGGAGGTGCTGTGTGCTTATAAGGAAGGCTGTTTCAGAGCAGGATGCGCCTCAGAAATTACTCTAATACATCGTCAACAGGTGATTGCAGGAGGGAGAGCCAGCCTCACCGACTCAGTGATGGAGAAGGACTTGCAATGAAATAACCGGCATTCAGAAATTACCTTCCATAATTTTTTCTCCTGTTTACAGTAAATGTGATCAGAAGGAAATTGTCCCCAACAGGCTGTCACTTGTCCTGCATACATTGGAATCGTTGCACCAACTGCCAGCTCAAAATAAGCTGGGTGCAGTACTGGAACTGCTTGCAGAAACTCGTAGCTTATGTAAAGCAGTTGCCTTTTTAATTCTGTTCCTTTCATATTAAAATATTATTGATTGTCTGTAACTTTGACTTCCCAGTGTAGGTGTTCTTCTGAAACTCATAATTATATGAGTAATATACTTGTTTCTATAGCTTGCTGACATTATTTTAATAAAAAAAAATCCTACCCAGTATATTTAACTTCGGAGGCTTAGCTGTTAAGAAGCTGACAATTAATTTTGTACTACTCCCCTGTGACGAGAAGACAAAGCATTTCAGAGCTTGTCTGTGGAGGCTGCCTAGATCAAGTTTATGATTATGGGTCAAATGGGCATTTTAGAATGAAACTGGAACAAAATTTTAAAAGGATTTGCAGGAAACACACTTCAGAAAAGTAGTTGTCAGCTTTAATTAAATTGTAGTTTTTGCTTTTATAGGGCTAATATTGTGACTCTAAACCCCTGAATGACCACAAATAATCCCATTTTTGGTTTGGGCTGGTTTTGGTGTGGTTTTTGACTTACCTCTCTTCTATTCTGTAGGACCATCCAGAACAAGGAGTGTTGTTTCTTGTGCGAGGATTACTAAATGTGATCCAGGATTATACTTGGGAGGATAACAGCGATGACAAAGTCAGGATTTATACTAATGTTTTGCATCTGCTGTCTGCAATGACTCAAGAAGCATATATCTACCATGTAGATAAAGGTAATACAGAAGGGCGGCTCAGGATCCTTGCAATTTGTAGTATTGTGCTATCACTGTACCTAGTTAACGAAGGTCAGTGGTAGTTAATGTTATGGAATGGATTCTTTTCCTGTACGCATCCAGATATTGTACCTTAAAATAATCCTGGGAGGCGGCTGCCAAACAGATGTACAGTCTGTTCTTTAAAGTGAACCTGTGCAGAGTGGTTTACTTTGTTCCTGGTGGTGGTGATGCAAATACTTAGAACTGTGAACTTTTCAAGTAAATATTAGAACTTTATACGTATGGAGGGTTTTCTTTTAGTCTAAAATATCAGCTTGATTTATACCTATCATTGGTGTTTCATTCACCTTTATTAACAACTCCAGTTTTCAGAATGTAATGCCTAGTCTTCATTATTTAAATGACGTACTTGCTGCTTTGAAGGCAGGCTTTCAGTTTTGGAAACTGGGGTGGTTGGTTACAACAATCTTCAGAGTAGCTAGGAAAAAAATTCTAAAGATTTTGCATTTTATAAAATGGCTGTAGTCTTTTTGTAGTAATATTTTGATTGCTCTAAAATTTGAGTGTGTGCCTTCTGATCATAGAGAGGTTGCTAAATTAAGGTAGAGTATTAATCAAATCTTCTAAAGCATACTGGCAAGACTAGTTAGTCTGAGAGGCCAAGCTAGTTTGGCTTTTTCTTTTAGTTGCACAGGGCTTTCACAAAGAAGCAGGCTGGAATATATTCTGCGGTTCTGGTGAATAGTATGTCAGAGTTACCAGCCATAACAGGAATATCTCTTGCAGTTAGCAGCACATAAAATAGTTGTCAGTTAAACTACTATTCCATAGTAAATCTGCTGTTCAAATTCTGTAAGGAAATGTGGTTTAGCTGCTTTTCATTCCATTTTTTATATGACCAAAATAACTGCATAATGCCAAGATGAGAAATTTAAATTAATTAGATTTCAGTGGAGAGGAGCATGGGAACATAAATTAGTAATTTTTCCCCTGTAGTTGGATGATGTTTTTTTCTAGGTGGACCACGTACCTTGAGCTTCTTAAAATGAAGTTTACTTGGGAACAGGGAATCACCTTTTATCTTATGTGCTCTCTGATTTACCCAGAGTACACTGAAACTTACACGTTTCTTGTAACTTCTTAGTAAAACATTATAAATAAATGAGGCCAAAACACATGTTTAAAATCACAATTATATAAGCTCTAAAAACTTTCAAGAGTGCTCTCCCTCCAAAAAATCCTTCAAGGGCTTTGAAAGTGAAAATACACTTGCTGAATTTTTCTCTGTGACTTTGAGGTAATCAAGGTTTTAAGAAAAAAAAAAACAAACACCACAGTTTCCTTTGAAAATCTTGTTGTTTTCACTAATTTTTGAACCTGGCTGCATCCAGGAATACAGGACTTTAAGATAGAAGATTCTTTTTAGTATTTTGTTCCTAAAATCAAGAGGACGTGGTAGGCAACCGAGTGGTAGGCACTTAAACAAGGTGGTTCTGTTTGTGTTTCATGGAGGAGGGTCATTTTATAACTTCCAAATCTGAGCTGCTATAAATAGCTGGTGTTTTCAGTGGCAAACAAATGCATAGCTCTTTAGCCAGACCTAAGCTTGAATTCATCTCTGCAGTTGATTCCAATGATACCCTGTATGGTGGAGACTCCAAGTTCCTGGCTGAAATTAATAAACTGTGTGAAACAGTGATAGCACAGATCCTGGATCATCTGAAAACCCTTGGAAAAGAAGAGGTATGTTCTTACTCAGCTTGATTCAATGCAAAACTAACATTACTTTTGAGTTTAGTAAACAGGCCACCTTCTTCACCACGCATTGGTCTCTTAGAAAGCTCCAGGAGCCTTACAAAGAGAGGAAATTAGGTAATTGTACTTGTTTAAAAAGTGAGTCAATCACGTAGGCAGGGTTGTGGTGGAAAGACCTAACAATGCGAAAGAGCTCATGTAGCAATTACAATACATTTTTAAGATGCAGGCTAAAGTTACCTGCTTAGCTGTTTGCTGTACACGGACAGTCTGATAGGACCAGCGAGCAGGAGAGAGAAGCTGCTCTGGTACACTCTGCGGTACGGCTTGTGGCAGCGCACCAAAGGATGCCATTCTGCTGCAGTACAGAATGAGGATTGCAGAGCAGCACAGGGAGGTTAGAGTCAGCTTTCAATGAACCGGCTTGAGTCACGGTGTTGTCTGGTTATGGAAATATGATGCTCAGGGTGGGATAACTTTTTTTTCCTGTGAGAGTCTGTTTGCCGATAATGAGCTCCATGATGCTGGTATTGCAATTATTGGCCTAAGCTAGGGAGTTGGAGACAGTGCCACAGTCCCTCCTTTGATTGCAGTATTGTTATGCCTAAAATCTGGTCCATGTCAGTCCTTCCTGTTGTTTCCTCCTGGCTGTTGCCTTTCTTTCTCTGTAAATAAACCGTATTTTCTTCCAAGCAAAGTTAACAGTAACCTGAAATGTCCGGTTCTGTAATGGCCAAAGTGAGAATTCACAGTCTGTTACTGGGTAAAATACAGTGGAAACCACCTCTAATTTGTAAAAGTTTGGTATCTCAGACGCTAGGATGAAGTCACTAGAGTGGTGTGGAGGGAGGGAAAAGGTGTTTTGGCTTTACCTTGGTTTTAGTACAGGGTTATATTTGTTCAATATGAAATAAAAAAACCTCTAGGTGGCTTATTGGAGTTCAGTGGCTCTGAGAGATCAAATATCGCTTAATGGCTTGTATGCGAAAGGCAGGTGAGTGAAGTTGTTTTCAGTATTACTGAAATAATGAGAACGTACTGTTCTGCTAATGTACCTGTTTCTGAGACTGAACCCTCCACGACTTCCCCATCACCCCTTACTAAAGAGCTGTATAACGATAGATGTGGTCTTGTGGCTCGTAGGCTGAAACAGGAGGGCGGGGGATGATTAATTTGCTGGAGGTTTTTAGATAGCCTGTTTGCACAGTAGTCTGTAGTGTTTGCTAATACAGAATGTGTTAAGTGACACATAGTGGGAAGATGCTGTGCTAAGTTTAGCCTTTTCTCTGCTTTTGCTATCCTGTTTATCCTTCCTTGAGCAATTGTAGAGATGAGATGAATAAATCCTTTGCTCAAATGCCTCTACGTCATTGTACACATCACCACAGTGAATGGCGGTTCTTTTTCAGAACAGTAATAGCAGAAAACAACCATTCTTGCACAGCTAAGAATGTCCAAGCAGGTACTTGAAGGACATTTTTAAGAGTTTTCAGGACTGTGGGTTGTGTATTGAGGATTTTTTGCATCTGACTCCTATATGGAGTATGTGGGTGGGAATGTTTGTGTAGGGCTTGAAATCTGTGGTTTCTGAAAGGCTTTTTTTCCTCTGCTTTCCAGCTTAATACTTTGAGTAATGAGATCCTGTGTTATTTCACTGAAGCAGTTGTGGCATAGAAAACTAGATTTAAAGCTAAGGAGGTCCTTGCCCTGCCTTTGCCTCCGTGACCTTGGATTTACTCCTCTGTCCGTCCTTATTTACAAAGAGGGAGAGCACTTCCTTTGCTGCTTTGAGTAAAAGTCCTTGAGAGATTTAGATAAAAATTGTTTTGTAAGAACAAATAGTTTTTTTGAGGAAGCTCTTGTCGCTTAGCAGAGAGTGACGAGAATATTGTCAGAGACCTCCGTTTGTGCTAAAGTCGAACCGATCATAAGATTGCTGTGGTTCAGTGTTGGTGACCTTTTATTATTCATCTGCTTGGCTGCTCATTTAAATGAACAAGACTCTGATGAGTCTATGTTTTTATTGGTTCATTTCCTTTAAAACCTATAAAGGAAAATTATTTTTTTTTTTCTGACAATAAAATGCTTTCACCAAAGTGGCAATTTGGAAGAGAACAATGCATCTTGTGTTAACACAGCATGGTCTTTTTGCAGTATTAGAGAATGCTTCATTTATGTTACAGTATTTGAATGGAAATTTTCAGTTCTGGGCAGTTCTGGGACGTTCAAGCTGTTTCTGGTTATGAGAGCACATATCGGTGAGTCCTCCCTGCCTTTGTGTGGGCAGAAGACTGATCTTGTGCTCCAGGTTTCTTAAAAATGTAAATAACTTCCCTCTTGCTACTCAGTGATAGATGCCCAGATGGAGTATGTTTTACTCAAACACCACTTTTGATCCAAAACATAAAGAGCATGTTGTTGTGTCCTTGGCAGTGCCATGTTAGGATGGCAGTCTTCCCGTGTACCATATGACAGATACTGGACTTTTTGTAAGAACTATCAAAAATAGAGCAGTGGAAAGCAATTCCTGGGTACGCTCTTGAGGCCTCTCCTTTCAACACAACTGATTTTTAATTTAATATAAACTTATAAAAACTTCGGTTGATTTCAGCTGTGTTTGAATACTGAACTGCAAGCAGTGGGACATAGTTCTGTTTGTGTGCAGGTGTGTTTTAAATTGAGAAGAGGTTGCTCATCCTGAAAGATTTTGTGTCATTGGCCAAGACTTTCTAAAGGCGGTTAAAAGTTTCGTTCCTCTTTGGGAGAAGGGAGGCAAGGGAATTTACCTGCTGCAGTGTCCGGAACTCACTCACTCCCAGATTCCTTTTAGTACACCATTGTCTCTGGCACGCTGGCAGAGTTTAAAGACTAGAAATAGTTTGATTTGGAACATCGTTTCTGCATGTTAGTGAGGTACTTGGTAAGTGGTGGAAACTAGAATAAATTAATTAGGATTCTGCTAATGGCTTACAGCAGGATTACTGAGTATGGCTTTTGAAAGTATGGTCTGGTCCTCCGTGAGCCTCAAGTTCCACATGGAGCACCTCTTTGTTGGATTAATTTTCTAACAGAAGGCTCAAGGTGTCCTTACTGTTGACGTGGATGTCTGGCAAGAGTCACTGAAAGACAGGAATGAATATTTGAATTGCTAGCCAGAATTTTGTGACATACAAAGTTACATGGTCCGTTGTATGAAAGATCCTGTTGGTTTTTTCTGTTATGCTATATGAAATTTGGACGTTGCTCTGGGTTTTGGTGGAGGGGCTAGGACGCAAGGGGGTTGCGTTCCGGGATGATGTAGTTTGTTCTTTGTTTCATTGTCATCAGCATTATTCCAACGATTATGGAAAATGCGCTGCCTAGAAGGTTGGCAACTCTTTTTGGTTTGGGAATTGCTGGTCCCATGACGTACGTGGCTGCCAAATAGCTGAGCTGTTGCTTTCTCCTTGCTGCCTGCGAATACCTCCTGCGAGTTGGAGTGCCACCCACAACTCACTCTCAGTTCTGGCGGCAGGCTTGGCAGCGTGCCGGCACAGATACTTCCCTTGGGTTGGAGGCCGGTGCCATGTTACACAAACATTCCTGTTCATCATGTGAAGCCTTGTCTGACTCTTCTTCATTTTCAGACGTGGTGGCGTTTCCTGCATACCCGAGCCTGCCTCGCTCTTCACTTTGCACTGTGTAACTGATGAGTAGATGCCAAAATCCTGTCTGTTATACCTACCCCAAGACAATGAGAGTTAGGGTGCATCTCTCTCTTCCAGCTTTTTAATGTGTTTCCAGATACTTTTTGAAGTATGTTTCATATTAGTCAAAATGTCATCCTTATTTTAAGGAATGGATTTTATATTTGCATTGATAGTGCCTGGAAAACCTCGCTGGTTGATATTCAGACTGGAGTACTGCTGCTTTTGCATTCTGCCTGCTAACTTAACCCTCCCACCTCTTGTGAGGAAACCTCCAAGCACTTCCCAGGAACCTCTTTGAAGTTCGTATTCAGCAGAAGACACACCGGCATTAGATGGTCAATGGGGGGAAAAAAAAATAAAAAAATAACCGTAGCGCCTTACTGTGCTCATGCCGGATACGTGGTGATGTGGCAGGTGGAAGGCTGTGTGCCTTGTGAATAATGCAGCGAAACACGGACTGGCTGGCTGTGTCCTGTACCCGGTTTTCCCTGAAGGGTGTTAGTCCTGCAAGAGAAATGCTACAGTGATATTGAAGCATAACTGCCTTTCCCTTTTTTTGTCTTTTGGAGATGTATTTCTGCTCTTTGCGTTACTACTACCAGACCAGACTGTTCAATTGTATTTCTCTGTCTGGTAGGGAGAAGAGTCCAGCGCTCCCAAGGGATGGTTGTAGTGTTAGCCTATAAACAGGTTTTGGGGCTGCTGGGGTGGAAATTGCTAACACAGATAACTGTTACGGGAAGAGCTGTCGCCTTGGTAGTTTCATGTAATTAATTTAGTGCTTAGGGAACTTCTCCTGGGGCCTTGGGCAGCTCTGGGCATTGCATGTGTGTGTGTGCACGCAGTTTCTGATGTGCCAGATTTGTTCTGCATGTACAGCTCTGCTGTGTGGGTCACACGCGCTCAGTAGCAGCCTGATGCTTCTCGTCTGGGGCATGCCGTGTCCTCCCGTCTAGTTAGCCAGCTCTTTAATGGCATGGCTTTCTCCTTTTCCGTATTTATCTGGAGGACTGATAGCTCAGTGTGTGCCATTTCTTTGATTAATAGCATCTGACCTCTCTTCTGCGGGCAGCGAGAAAGGAAATTAATTTACTTTCGGTCCCGTAGGAAAGGGCAGAGGCTGCACGGTATCGTGTCAGGAGAGCGCCGGTCGCAGGGATCGCTGCACCCCTCTTACCGGAGGAATGAGGCAGAGGTCGGGGTAACTTCGTGTCTCTGTATTAGCTGCCCTGATGTGTATTGAACTGAGAGGGCTGAAGGGAAGTATTAAGTTCATTAATTGAGGTGCTCAGCTGACAGTTTTGTTTTAATTACTCTGCTGCTGGTTTCTGTGTAAGACGGAGCTGTGCTTTTATCAGTGGTCCTTCTTGAGCAAAAACCAAAGGACAGCTGCAGCAAAGCAGTACAAATGAATACGTCTCAGATGATTCCAATAATTTGTCCCTTTAGCCTTTTAAAACTGATTTGGTAGAAATAGGCAGACTCTAAAATAGCATTTTAATTACTTCTGTTTTCCACTCACCCCAAATCAGGGCGGTAGCACCTTGCAGGCTTAGCGCAGGATTGTCTGTGCCCCACAACTCCTCCGCAGAGGGCGAAGGGCAGGGTGCTCCTCCGTGGTGCATCCCATGAAGCAGGGGTCCTCCTCAGGGTCCCTCCTCAGCAATTTTAGGGGAAGTAGCTGCAAATATGGTGCAAATATGTCGGTATCACCAACGTTTCCGTGAAAGAATAGCAGAGAAAAAACGTCTTTGGTTAAATAAATAAGAGTAGAACAGAGTGCTGGAAAAAGCCTGAAGTTGCATTAATCTCAATTGATGATTGTGGTCTCTAAAAATACACAGTCGCGGCGATACAAGCGCGAGGTTGGTGGGAGGGTGATTTCCATGCAATTGTAGGGAGTCTTGAGTTAGAAATGTGTCAGAGCTACACGCTGCTGTGCCAAAGTGGTATGAGGTGTAGGAGGAGTCTTGTGTAATCGCTTTATTGACAGCAACTGAGGTTGATTCATGATTGTCACTACGTGTTGATTCATGATTGTCACTACGTGTTGATTCATGATTGTCACTACGTGTTGCATTTTGAACGGAGCATGGAAGCTCTGCTCTATTGTTGTGTCTGTAAGTAATGCTGTGTATTACACAACAAGTACCTGCCCCTTGCACGTGTAAGAGTTCAGAGAACCCAGAGAGGTTATGCTGGATATTTTGGGACGACTGTGTGGTAATTCAGGAATTTCTTTTTCATTATAGACCCTAAAGCGACAGAGCCAGCTGGCACTCTACTTCTTTAACACTATTTTAGCTCATGGGGATCTACGAAACAACAAACTAAACCAGCTTTCGGTCAACCTCTGGAATCTTGCTCAGAAACATGGCTTTGCTGACACCAAGACGATGGTAAGGAAACAGATAACACAGGCAAATCTTAGTTCTTAAGATCTTTTTCAGCTCCTCATTTGGGAAAAGGTAACATTTTCTTGATCTGAATAAACCTAATTCTTTTTACAATTTGCTCTCTTAAAGTTAAATGAGCTTAAAAAAAACCCAGCTAATTTTTTAAATACTTCTTAATGAATTAAGCAGCTTCTCTTATTTCAAGTGGTCTTTATCTTTCTAGCACTTTTAAATGTATTTCACACATTAAAGAACCTGGAAACGTTGGGTGCTATAACTTTTTTTGGCAGTACAGAAAGCTATCTTTAAGAGAAACACAGCATTTTTATTTGCTGGAGGAACTGCATGGTGCAAGCTTGGAAAGTGGGCATTCCAGGGCCTTTAAGAAAGAGCTACATGGGAATGAGCTCTGGAGTGAGAAATGCAAGTGCTCCTGCAGCCAGTGACGTTTAGGGAAAATCATGAGTCTCTACTAAAACACCTTCACATGGATTAAATGGCGGCCTTTGAAATGAGAAAAGACAAAGACACTGAAAATCTCAAGATACCTTTCTTTTCATACCCAGGTGAAAACGCTGGAATACATCAAGAGGCGAAGCAAGCACCCTGACATGAGCCACTTCACAGACCTGGCCCTGCGGCTCCCGCTGCAGTCCAGGACCTGATGAACGCCTTTGCCCAGGGGTCCGCTCTGCCAGGCGGCGCGTACCGACGCCAAAACTCCCGGATCTAGACTTTGACTGGAGGAGTTCAGTGTATTTTTATTTTACTTAGTGTGACAAGTTTACTTGCACACAGGTAGAACTGTTCTGTGCAATAATTTAATCTGAATTTGTTTCCAGTTTTACCACTATATTCTTATTTTACATGCTGATTTAGATTCAGAAAAGGGTATTTTGAACCTCTGTGGTTGCAAAAGCCTTTCCAAATCTAACCTGTTGTCACTTTAGCAACAAAGGAAGAAGATAATCTGCACGGATCAATTCACAGCCTCCACACTTCACCCCACTTGCAGAATAGTCTTTGTCCTGCATAGAAAGCAGTATTTCAGTATGCTGCTGAGTCGTCTTTCTGCTGTGGGATGCTGCCAACACTTGTTTGGTCAGTTCCAGGAAAAGAGAAGAATGGTCAGGGTGGTACTGTTCTGATTTCTACAGTACATTTTCACAGACATGTCTGTGCTTTTGTTCTAGCTCAGTGGTGTTTTGTAAAATGGAAGGAATCTTTAAGTGCTGTCTGCAAAGGACAATGGCAATGTATGCAAAGTACTCTATATTTGCAAAGTACACTGTATCACTGAATAAAACAATTTGCAGTTCATGTGTTTGTTCTGGGGGTTTCTTTGCGTGTACAAATGTATCACCTTACCCTTGTGGAATTTAGTTACAGGTACTGCTGCTACACCTAATAAATTTCACTCTCACCACTTCTGTCCCACAGTAAGGAACCCTGTTGGGACCCTGCATCTATTGCTGCTTTTGCTTCGTGGTAAGTATTTTAATGAGCTAAATCCTTATATGGATATTAAGATATATTGTTTGCATAAAAATGTTTTATTTTGTTAAGGCTAAACAAGTAATCAGTTTTGCTAGAACCATATATTTACAGAGTTAGCAAGCTGATGATAAATACCACCCGAATTATTAAACCATTCTTGTGGCCTGTTCTTCATCTCCTCAGTGGTTACTGAAGCAGGGTACATCTAAGGTATGTAATTTGTGTTAAAGTCGTAAAGAACTGAAGTAGGGCCCTTGGGTCCTGGTACAGACTATGTACGTAAGCTGAGTAAAACTGCAGGAATACAAAGTAATTATGAAGTGGTACCAACTTGATACAGAATCTTTCCAACCTGTAGTCCATAGCTGCTTTAATTATACTGACTTTCCTTAAATAATTCTGTATAAAGCTCACGTAGATAATGAAATGATAGTACTGCATGTGTTATCATGTCCCACTTTAATTTAGCTTTCCTTGCTGCAGAAAACAAATCTCAGCAGCACCTACATGATTCTTCCTGTTGGAAACATAAACCATGGTCTGAGTAAGTGGGATTAAACTCGGCTCCCTGAACCGCCCAGTGGGTCACACTGAGCGGCTCTGGGGGGCAGAAATTGCCCTCTGGAGGCAAATGCACTGCTCTCAGCCCAGGGTGGGGTTGTTCCGGGTCCTGTACCACGGAAACTCTTACAGCAGCCTCACCAACACCCCAACTGTTCCTCTTCCCCATCCAGGCACCAGGTTTTGCCTGTTGTCTTTTGAGCACAGTGTAACTTTGGTTTCTTTATTGATGCAAGACCGCCATGAGAAATGCTTTCAAATATTTTACTACTGTTTTTATTAGTGCAAATATAGCTCGACAACAGGCAGCAAGCTCTAGTTAGTTACCAGGAGCAAACTCTAAACATCTACCTTAGAACCTAACATAACCACTCTAATTAGCTGCTTTTGGCTTACTTCCATGTTAGAGCAAAATTAATTTTACTTAAAGCACTCTACTTATCATAGACCTTCTCTTTCTTCTGTATATAGCAACTATATGGGCCAGACCAAGTTTGGCTGCTTGAAAAAAGCTGATGGGTTTTTTTTTCCCCAGCTACATGTCTGTTTTTCAAACTATGAGATTTTCCCATGCACAGTATTGCCACGAGCAAGGCGCCAGCCATCCACAAAGCTGCAGTCGAGCCACGCGCTGGTATACACGATGCAATTCTAGGTGGGAGAGTCCTTATGGAAAGGCAAGGCTGGGACCAGTACCACCTTCTGCACCTTCATCAGTGCCAGTGCAAGACCAGTCACTACCCAGCCAAGGCTGGCTCTGCAGCAGAAAGCTGTACGGGCTGTCCCTCTCCTCCTAAATGAAGTCGCTAGTTGACATTTTTCTATCTTTCCTTTACTTTAACTCATTTTTTTTGCCAGGCAAATAGCCAAGGGCCTGAATTCAGCATTTGTCTTCAATCAGAAGAGCACAGAGAACCTCCACTACTGAATTTAAGTAAAGCAACAGTTGAAGCCAGTTGCTGAGCTTTGAGAGCACTGGTGCAAAACCGACTCACCCCGAGGTAGTGGTGGTTTAAATGACACTTTAAAAGAGATGGTTTCCTCAAAGACAAGCAGATTCTGCAGGAAGTGGTTCAGCATCTCCCTCTTCCCAGGTGTGGGAATGGATTCATGGCAACCCCCAACGCCAGAGCCTCTGCATAACTGTCACTTCCTCCCAGGAGTTACCCAAAATGGGACCAGTTGGAACCAGCTGTGGTGCTGCTGAGTGCACGTTCTGCTGGAGGCAGCTGCTCTCGGGTAGGGCGGTCCACTGGAAAAGACTATCGTGGAAAGCGAGGGTGCCTTAAAAGAGTAGGGAGAAGTAGGAACCTAATTCTGGGGGGCCAGGGTTCCCCTGCCAGTCGGCCAGTACAGGCACCAGGTTCTGCTGAAGAACCAGAGCTGCTTAACACTGTCTGCTGCAACAGGTGGCACAGCCAGTAGCAACAGCTGTGATGAGTTTTCTACGTCTTTGTGTAACTCCAAGCAAGAGACCAACAGACTGCTTCGGCCCCTTGAATTCTGAGCATGACATACACAAATGCAGTCTCATATTTTGTACTGTGAAAGTGCAGGCTGGCTGAAAATCCAAAGGTTAGAAATGTCATTCAGATGGCTGTATAATGAACCCAATAAGCACATTATTAAAATAACCTTGCTTTCTATAATTTAGGAAGTCTAGCTCCATATATTTGGTGCTGATATCCAGAAAGCCTTTACCTTCATTCACAGGTAACAGCTGCTGCTTGAAAATCCAACTGCCAGCGCATAGTTAAAATACAGAGGATGTTCAATACTATTCATTATTATAATAAAGATGTTAATATTTAAGAAACTACTTTCTGAGTTAAAAGTCTCCCCTCATCAAATTTGTAGGCATACCAGTAGTGTTTCTTCCAAGTAAAATGCCATCACTTTGTACTACTCAGTGTAAAAATGTGAAGAACCACTAAGATGTAGCTAAAAATAAGTTTCTGAAATCAGCATTTAAAAAAAATTTACAACAAAGTTTCAACTTGTTGCAGGCACTGCCCACATATCTTCAATCTCTGAAGGAGGCTGTCTCTTGTGTTGTACAAACATAGTAAAGCTTTCAAAAACTTACTGTTTAGCTGAAGTGAGGATCCAGCTCCACAGAATCTGGTGTACGCAGTTGAAAACTTGTACTAAAAGTGCCTCAAATCAAATTTCTGAAACATTTTGTATTTTATTTCAAGTAAAAAGATGTGAAAAGAAATTTGCCTGTTGAATTTTCATTCCTTTTATTACTTCAGAGTTTTAATCTTCAAATTTTATAGATCTAGATGTGTATTTGTCTATGTATACTTTTTTGTTGGCAGCAGGTTGAAATCCAAGACCGATTCCTCTATGTTGCTTCAAGTCCATTGCTTTATCGAATTCCATCTTCAGAGCCTGCTGTAACTTCTCCTCCCCTTCCCTGTTCAGAGCCATGTTTGGTTTGTTTGTAGCTGCTGAGAGAGTTTGGATGGGCACAGAGCCCTTCTTAAAGCCACCCATCAGTCTAAAAAACTTCATTTGTTCCTCAGAACTTTGAAAAGCAGCTGTACTCCACTGGCCAAACTTTGCATCCTGCAAAGCAAAACAAGGTTAACGCTAAAATTAAGTAATACCAAGACCAAGGAAGACAAATTCTGGCTGCCCACTGTGGGAACAGAAGCAGCTACGAGAAGCTGACAGGGTTGACAAAGCTGGGAGCGAGAAGGTGTTCAAGGTGGCTCATATGCTTTAAGTGTATTTGCGTTCTCCTCCCACTGACTACCAGTAATGGTGCAAAGCCGAGGGCACACCCTTACCCAACAGGACTAAATACAGCAGTACTCCTCCAGCCTGCCCCTCTCACCATTTGCCATCCCTTAACTCACCCTTCACTGTGTTCTCTGAACTAGTTCACTCCTTCAGGACTTTTCTTTTGTCTGCAGCTAAGTACTGTCTGAGTAAAATCAGAATTCAACCGTCTGTGGATAACCCAAACTACATTTTATGATTTACAAAGTTTATGAACTTTTGGCTTACCTAAGATCCTTAGATAATGAAGCCTGTTCTTACTTAACTCCTGAGCTGTAGCTAGGAGCTATGAAGTCATTTGTAACTATTTTTGGCATGACTGCTACTCCCAATTTTTTCTTTAAAATTAGGGGTGATATTAAATGGAAGAATGTTTGATCATTAATTAAATAGACTGAGCTGGCTACATCAAAGGAAAAAATGTGAATTTAGTGGTGTGTTTATGTAAGCCTGAAATCCTTCCAACTGAACAGTTGCAGCTTGCATGAAACAGTCACTCTCCACTAGACAGCCAACACGACACACAGCATGCTACACAATATTGCAGACAAGCTGTAGCAGGTTTTTTAAGTTAAAAAACCCACAAGGCTGGAGCCTCATTCACTATCACAGACCAGAATACCTGCTGTTAAAAGCAAGCCAGCCGTAATAGGTTTTTTACCGTGCTCAAAGACACGTTGCTGTATAAGCCAGGTCTGACGCATGCGCACATACACGTCTATCTATGTCCTGCCTTTGGAATGGGAGACATCTGCACAGATGCAAAAATCATTACGGCTTGTCAAACCCAGTAATTTTTTTAAAGTGAATTGCTGGCAGGCACTATGTGTAGCTTTTGCTGCTGCATTTCCTGCTCACTCTTTGTGAAGCTGATGGATTAGTTTTCATAGCTTCTATTCTTCTGCCTACTACCAGAGACAGATGAGCACCAAAGAACAGAGTTCCCCTGCCAAGGATGTCCTTTTTTCAATGACTTCAGAGACTATTACATAGTTGCAGTTCCAGAGCTATTGCAGTCTGCCTCCCACTACGTAAAAACCTACCGGAGTTGTTTCTGGCATTTGTTTGAGGTATATTCCAACTTTCTAGGCATACTGGCAGTCCTGCGAAACAACTAAGAATGTGGAATTACTAGCAAAGCTTTCTCTCCTCCTGAATCTCCTCCCCGCTGCAAAACGCTACTGCAGCAGTTTCCACAGCCTGACTGTAAACCTGTCAGGAGGCAGGCTGAGCAGGATGCAACAGCAAAGGATAAAGAATCATCTCCCAAAGAGATGGGGGAAAGCTGTAGGAGTTCGGAGAGGATGGACTAGCGCATACACGTGTTGGCAGTTGTCACCCCTTTTACCCTTCCATGTGCACCCGTTTCTGAACGTCTGCAAAGTCTTCAGACAACAATTCAGATACAATTCAGTGACTGCATAACCCACAGCCTAGAATGACTTACATTTCACAGCAAACAGAAAATGCTTCTGTAGCAATTTGTCGTGGCTCATTCTCCAGAGGAACCACAGAAAATGTTGCTTTTGAGGACTGATGATGGGAATCAGAGCTCTGTACAATGCCAGCTGCTGCTGGAGGTCACTGGTCTGCTCCCAGACTCTCCTGGGACTGCACTATAACTTGTGCTATATACCATGACCTTAAATTTACAGCCAGAAAGAAGACTGACTGTGCCAAGCCATGTACCTGAGCCACATACAAAAAAGAATGCAGCGGTTTTTTCAGGAACTTGCTCTGGGACACAGTATTCCACCAGATCAAAGTCTAAGTTCATACATACCTGTTCCACTTTGGGACTGAAAACCTTAGTTTTGCCAGATTCTCTATCAATTTCTTCTTGCAGAGCCTGCCGCCTCACCTAGCATGCAGAAAAAACAGCACAAGACACTATCTTCTGTGTGTTAAATGACAGTTAATTTAATTCACTATGAAAAGATAAGGCAAGAATAAAATAATTATATTCAGAATTTTGCAAGGATAAGTAGAGTTGCACGTGATCCTTTCACTCAACACCAGAACTGTGATTTTTCTAGTGGTATTTTAAATTTTATTTTTTTTTATTTTAAATTTTTGCTTTATCAGATATGTTTAATCTTCTCACTACAGGTAACAGCTACACTGAAACTACCAACTTTGATGAGAGGCAAAGAAACCTGTATTTAACCTAATAAGCTACTTAGAAGCTTCCGACATTGATTGGAGCTGCACAGTTTGGACTTAACTCGTGGAAGGTAAAGCACACTTTAAGCAGAAGTTTATTTAGGAAAATCTTGGCATAGACAAGCGACAAAGCAGGTGTTTTGTTACAAATTCTAGGCGTACATTAAATGCTGACTTGCTTTAAATCTTACACAATTAAGACAAAGCATACCTTGTCTATGTTAACTTCATCACAGTTTCCTTTTTTTTCCTGCACAATAGTTACATCATCCACATGTTCCTGTAAAAGAGAAAAAAGACTGTATGAATATTTTTATCCATTCTGGTTAATTAGAATTTACACAGCTCTAACCACAAAAATAGTAAAACACTAAGCAATACAGTAGTACTGGTCTGAGGCACGAAGAAAGTCAGATATAAGCTGAAAAAGCCAATTAAACCTGCGTATTTCTATGGAGATACCTTCTCCCCAAGGAAGAGATTCTTTCTTTAACAAAGAGGAAATGGGATTATTTTTTTTAAATTCACACATTGAAATGGGTCTGCCAATATCACTGGCACATACAGTGAAGTTTGCAGAGAGCATTACTTCAAATCAAACCATTTCATAAAAGTTTAAATTTATACTTGAAATAAGGGACAGAAAAAGTGGAAAAAAACTAATTAAAAAATTGGTGGTAAGCTAATAGCCCAGGACGAGCTTGAGGCATGTTGATCCCACTAGCTACTTCACAAAAGCTCAAACCAAACCCCAAACAATGGAGAGGCAGCTGCACCGTGCTCCGTCTTGTACAAGTGCAGAGTAGACAATGGTCTCCAAGGAGCTTCCAGGCTGGAAAGAGCCCAGGGAGAGGCGTGACACGTACATAAAGTGTCTCCTACAATGGCGGCAAACGACACGTTAGTTCCACACTTGAGATCGAGGAACGGGGATGATGTGAGGAGACGGAGTGGCCACGGCAGGAACGGGTGGGCAGGACGGCAGGAGGCGAATCGGCGGCAGAGTCCACCAGCGGCCAGGTACTGGTAACTCTTCCACTGGTGCAGCCCTTCAGCAGGTTTTGCTCCCATTGACTGGCGTTTCCAGATCATTGCCCTCAGCATTTCTTTTCTAAATTTGTAGTAAGGATAAGATTTTTGGGCATCCAGTGTAACAGGATAAGTAATAAGTCCAGGACAGTGGTAAATTAGAGCCATAAGCTTTAGACCAGCTGGGAAAAGGTGGCCAAAGGGAAGATCTATTGATACAGCTAATGTAATAATCCAAGCATGAAACAGCCAGGGAACACTAAGACACAGGAAAGATTTGTAACATACTTCTGTCAGTGGAAGCTGCTGTTACTTTTTTGAGGGTTTACAGTTTTATATAAAGCCCTGAGTGACCTACCTCGTTTTCCAAAGCTAACTTTTATACATTGATTTCATACGCGCACTAGTACATGCACCATTAAAAATCTGAGAATGCTGCAATAAGGAGAGCTCATTCTCTTGGATGAAAAGAAAGAAACAAAACCAAGCCCCAATTTACTTCTAGATGGCCTGGTACTGTCTTTTCAGAGCTATTAGAACAAGCAGGAAAACTTGTGACAGGATTCTGCAAACAGCTGCAACATACTTTTTTTTTTTTTTTTTTTTTAGCTGGAAGTTTAAGTGGCAGGCAAGGAAGGAGGAAGGGTGCATCCCCATCTCGAAGGCTACTGCGTGGCAAAACCCACCCCCTCTCTGGAGGTGTGCCAGTCTTCCCCCTGAGAAGACTTTGTGGAAGGGGAGCGCATCCACATGGTAGAACTATGCTATCTGCAGGCAAACAATTTCAGAGAAGTAAACTGAGTCCTCGCTCCTCCTCACTCTGCCCAAGTTGACTGTAACGGCATCCAATGGGAAAAACATCATTCACTGCTATTAAGTGGGTTATTGCTCCACGTTGTCTTTAAAAACTTACCTTCTGCTTGCTGCAAAGCCCAACAGAGGATTTTTCAAGGCATGCAGCAGTGTGTGTGACACTGTAGACTAGAAAATGATTCAGCACTATGGCACAGCTCGATGCAAGACCAGCGTTACCAGCCATTTATTACAGCAGCGTCTTTTGGCCTGGCAGGAACTAGATTTCTCTAGAATTAATTTACCCAGACTTCTCAACCTTCAGGAGAATTTCTCCAAAGTACTTTTTATTATTAAGGGACAGAGCTGACTATGTATAAAAGAGAAACAAAACACTCATCACCCTACACCCTTCTGCTCAATTGTTTGCAAGGTATTTGCCATGTTTTCTACAGTAATCAGTCATGCAAGTTTACTTGTCATTGTTAGGCTTATCTTGCCTCCACAGAATGTGAGCAGCTGCAAGAATCCAAATAACGCCTAACAGCCCCAGAAAGGCAATGATGTCAATTGAATTAGAAAATATATCCCAGCAATAAAACCACCTTGTCCTTTGAAAGGTCAAAAGGGGAAACTCAAGTAAAAAGCCCCAAGCACCTGCTCACCTAATGACTGATAAGCATACACGCTCCTAACACAAACCGTTGTGGAAAAAGCCCATGTCTGGGTCTCTGCGAAGGCTGAAGAATCTGCTCACAGAAATCTATATTTAATTACTAGCACTCGAGCCCAGAAAGCTGCCAGGTTTCCACAGAGCATGAAGAAACTGCATGTATGCGTGCATAACAAAGCAAAGCACGCTAGGAAGCCTGCTTGAGGCAGCTCATGCTCTGGCCCGCTCCAGCCCTGGTTTCCAAAAATCTTCCACAATGCTTTATTAACTAGTGCTTGACTTTTAAACAAGGCAAGCATTCAAACTTCTTGATAAAAAACAACTGGCGAGCAGTTTCCCGTTACCTATGAAAAATAAAACCAAGCTCCTAATGACTTGCAATGAGCTGTTTTTAAAGTTGTTTATGCGGCTAAAAAACCAGATAGATACTCATTGAATTCCTGAGCATCTCACAGCTTAATTCCCAATGATAACAACAGAGGTTAGATATGTAGGTACTAACTTTAGGCACTTAAAGAGCTTTAAAATATGACCCTAATCAGATAAAGAAGTTAAGAAGTTAAAGCAATAAAACCGTATCTTAATAGTCTAATTTTTGAAACACATAATCAAAGCAGAAGTCTCTGTATTTCAAATCTTTCATCAGTTCCTCTCCGTTTGTTCGGCCCCAGAGATGGCAGCACTGCAAGGCTCTGGGATGGGATTCCCTTTAACAGTCAGTCTGGATACAATTCCAGTTACCTTCAGCTGTAATTTGCACAGCTCTTGTATCTGTTTATTTTCTTGCATAGATTTATTATTTTAAAGACTTTGTGTTTAGGCTGTTCTCTAGTGTTTTTCTATAAGCATTTATACATCAGTGCTGTAGGCCTAGTCTACTCTTGGCATTCTTAGGATTTTCTCTGAAGTTTTGTCCAAGTTACACAACAGGTTTTGGCTAAATTTTCCCCTTATTTCCAAAACTACAGAATTCCAGCAGCAAAAGCATGAGGAAAAGTCAAACGCACACAGTTAGATGCACTCATGCTGCCAGGTTTACCAACCGGCTCAGGTTAATTGTCAGGGTATTAAAATCCTATTTTATAGGAGTGCTGGCACTTCGCTAAGAGCAACTGAAGGAGGGGTGGCAGAACATTAATGACTCTGCATACGAGTTTTCTTTTTGTGCCAATACTTGCTGTTAGTTGTAATATTTACGTTTTCACAAGTGAAAGACCAGGTGACTACAGCAGCAGGCATTAAAAAATCCTTCCCTGTGTTTCACAATGATTAGGTGCTGAAATCAGTAGATGAGCTGATTCTGCTCCTCAAAACCCAGAGGAGGCCCCTAAAATGTTCCCTCAGGGGCTGAACAGGCAGAACAGCCTGCAAAACAGGGCACTGTCTACCTAAAAGCTCTCAGGTCCTTAGCAGGAGGGTGCAGAGACACCCTCTTCTTTAGAACTTACCGGTGCCTCATCCCCCATGTCTTCTCTTTTGATCTTCTTCTTTTTTATATTTGCTTTTGAACCTGGTTTTTCAGCAATGTCCTCTGGTACTTCTTTTTTTCTTTTTTTCCTTTTTCTGTCACAGAGCATATGATTACTATTGCATAATACCCCACCTACAGTGTCCCCTGTGACACATTCGGCTCGCTGCATTTCGCTCTCTTTGCTCTTTTTATTGCGTTCTAGCAGCATTGTGTTTTGGCTTTTAGATACACTGTCATTGCTTAAGAAAACTTCTGAGTATGTTGTTTCCTCCTCCTCTTTCTGAATCTTCTTTTTCTTTTTCTTCTTGATTACTTCACTATTATCCCTGATAGTCTTCCTGCATGTTTTTCCAGAAAGCTCTTCTTCCTCAGACTCGACTTCTCGCTGTGCTGGGAGATGCTGATCAGGAACTCTGTGACTGTAGTTTTGATCATCTTCACATACTAAGGAAAAAACATCTTTGCTTTTCTTCTTCTTCCTCTTGGTCTCTCTGACACTTCCTGAGTTAGTAGTGTCCTCTTCCCCTGTATCTGTGAAAGCAACTTCCTGGGAATTCTTTCTTTGCCTTTTTCTGAAGTCACGTAATGCAATGGGACTGTCGGGAACTGCAGCGGTGCTGTCCTGATTATCTGCTAGTGGTAAAATGGAGTTGGACTTATCTTTCTTTTTCTTCCTCTTCTTTCTTCTCACATAACTCTCCCCATCATTCTGGATAATATCTGTTCCATGGGTTTCATCAGTAAAAGCTTTTTCTTGTGAAATGTATTTGTGTGGTTTTTTACGAACTTTTTCAGACCGTTTATGTTCACTGTCCTGGATGTCCTCCAGTGAAAAAAGGTCTGTCGTCTTCTTTTTTTTCTTAGTTACTTCACCAGCCAATTCCAGATTCAAAGCAGTATTCTTTCTGCTTTTTTTAAGGACACATTCATTTTCCTTAGCACCATCTGTATGATGATTTGAAAGCTCCACATCACTACTCTGATTATTCTCCAACAATAAGGAGGAATGACATTGGGCTTTTTTTTTCTTCTTTTTGAGAATTTTAATTTGATCCTCTGCTTTTTCTTGAGGTTCTGAATCCAGATGGCCTTCTACACTCACAAAGCTTTCTGAATGTGCTTCTTTCAGTAATTCAGAGTCAACTTTCTTTTTCTTGTTTTTCTTCTTCTTCTTTTTCTTCAGTTCTAATTGCTCTAAACATTCATCTTCTTTTAAATTTTCCTTTTTCCTTACCTTTGTTTTCACCTCAAGCTGGTCATCATCCTCAGTTTTAATGACAGATTGAACATCTTTCTCAACTTTAATAACAGTCTGGCTCCCACTACTTTTCACCTTTTTCTTCTTCTGTATAGGTTCCTCATGAACTTCCTTTCTCTTTTTCTTTATTATCATTCTAAAAAAATGAAATGAAGATGTTAGTGCACTACTTCAACAAGATGACGCACGTCCTAGTCTATTTGGTCTTCCTTTTTTCTGAAACCATTCCCATTCTCTCATTGTCCCTGGCACTTTTTTTCCAATTTCACAGTCTGCGTTCCGTGACGGAGGGAACCAGAACTGCGGGCGGCACTGAAAACACAGTCTGCTGGAGAGGTCAAGGGGGGATTTTTTGTCTTGTTCTTTAGCGCTGTCCTAGTTAGTCTGTAACTTGGTCTGACAACATGACATTTTCACTGAAATATTTACCCTCTAAAAAGCTCTCCTAAATGACAAAACATACTCATATATATAAATCGTTAAGTACAGTAAAGGTGGTTTCCCACCTATGTACGACTTGTCACTTGCCCAACACTGAACCTCACATCACTTTATTGCCCACTCAGCGTTACAAGATCCTCTCCAGGCCCTTTAGTTATTACCTTGGCTTTCCTCCTCCTCCTCCTCCCTCAGGACACTGGTGCCCCTGGCCGGGTTACAGCGGAGAAGCCTTCGGCACCCACCTGGTGACACTCCCTGCCTTTGCCGAGAAACCCATTTATTCCCGCGTGGTTTCCTTTCTTTTAAAAAATATCCCGCGGATGAGTTATTGGTTAAGCGCCTCTGTAAGGCACCCTGCCCAAACCCCTTACAGCCCACCGAAGCATACCGCAATACACCTGCGGCTGTTACCTGCCTGCACGTCGGGGCTTCCGAACCAAGGCGGCAGATGCGCGACCACGGGCCCCGGCCCCT